TCCAGAAGCGACCTGGCCACAAACGATAGCTCAACGAAGTGGCTTGTCGCGTGGAAATGTACAACGCACGTTGATCCTCAAAGAGGAGGAAAAAACCGGGGGACCCGGAGCATAATCAACGCGACCTCCGGGAGAACACGCAAACTCCAAATATACAGCAGGCGTCAGGACCGGGATCGATCCCACAACCTCCTATATACCAGGCGAGCTAGTAAACACCTCACCGCAAAGACGTAGATTCCCACTGAGCCTCAGAGGACCATGGAGGCAAGTTTCATTAGCGTGAGCGTACTCGCGAATGGGAGCACGGTACGTGCGGGGGATGGTATGACTGGAACCACACTTGGATACCTTTGACCGCCCTGAGCCATAGCAGGAAATTCCACATTCTCACAGCAGGGGCAAGACTATCTGTAAGATGACCATCGCTTATTTCCCACAGAGGACTCTGTCTAATTTATCTTGGCAATGCATAAACACATTTGAAAAGTAATCTATTTCGTTGTAGTTTGAATCACATCAGATTAAGGATAATTATATAAAGTATAATAAATATATTACACCCCTTATATACCCAGGAGAGCTTCAGGTTTGAAGATTATTTTTGAGGAGGGGTCGTGGATTGGGATGTTTGGTCAATACCATTAAAACCAAATTTGGCACGTGGGACAAAACTGCAATGCCTAGAGAACACCAACATCTCCAGGGAGGAACACTCAAGCGCTGCACAGACAAATTCTAGAATACAGATCTCTGCCACCATCTCCTAGCCACCTCACAGCCCAAGCCCACAGCACCTGTTATTCCCAGGCAGCCTTCCATCCAATGTACTAACCAGGCTCAAGTTTGCTTAGCTTTAGAAATCTGACATGAATGGGTACATTCGTGTTGGCTTTGCTGTATACAAACGCAAATAAATCCAGTAGATTATGTTCAATTTTTTCGAATGATGTTCGTTTGTTTTAGTGGCAGTAAGCTTCAAGCAACGCGTCAACTCGTATCGATGAAACACTTCGATAGTGCAGCTTGTTGCTGGCCACCTCACGTTTAGAGCCTTTTGTGCCCGGTGCTGAGCAACTGTTAAAAAAATAACTAAATCTGAGCTTCAGTCAAACATTTGGGAATTCCGTGAGAAACTATGAGGTCAAAGTAATGTAATCACGAAGTAAAAAAAATACAACGCGGCGAGATTAATCAAAGCCTTTTGCCAAGGCCACGGCTTAATTACCGGCGCTTGCAAGTGGCCTCTAGTGGCTCTTCCCCAATGTGACCAAATCATCCATCAAGGCCAAACGCAGAGGAAGTTCACTCGCTGGCTCCAAGGTTCTCAATAGGTTTTAACCGCTTTTGTAGCCCCGACCACAACTCGGCTTTCCACGCTACGTTTCCCTGGTTCTCCCAGGAAATCTTCCTCTCGTTGAGGAGGCTGTCCGGAGAAATCGTTTAAAGTCCCGACGACCTAAGCGATACCAAGACGTAGCCCCACCTCAAGATGACGGACGACCTTTGATCACTTGTGTAATAACAAAATACCGCTCAATAACGTTACACCACTTTGCTGCGGCTCTCCCTGTATTGCGAGAGAGTCTTCTTCCCCTGATAGGCCCCCCCGGTTTTTTTGCACCTCATACACGTGGCAACTCTTACCTCACCACCTTCCCTTAAGTTGGCCGATGTGTCCCTCAGTAGCGTTCCAAATTCGTGAAACAATTTTGCACCTTTGCTACGAAGGCATTAATTGTCACAGCAGGATGTTAGATAAATATACAGCACACTAACATTTCCAGGCATGGGGCCAATCTGAAATAGCTCTATTATGGCCGCGAATCCCATTGGGACAGGCCGGTGTCCTTGTGTTAACATACACGTCTCACTCGACCTGGTTCAGATTATCCACACGTGTGGTCGTGGGCGCTGGAATTAGCCTTCTCCGGCGGCTTAGAACTACAAAAATTAGGTACGGTAATAAATTCTGTTTTTAAAAGGTTTTAAGGTTTTATTTGAAACGTAATATAACCCCCGCTCAAGGCCAAATCAAAACATTGTGCAAAACAAATCTATAAAAATGACGAGAAAACCCATCGTAACATAAAAGTAGTGCAGACTGGAAAACCATCATTTTGAAAGAAACATATAAAATGTGCATTAAAAGCTCTGGCTTTGAGCATCTGTGATAAAGAGCTTTATTGCTCATTGGATTTCTCCAGTGTCAATACAGATTCTGATTCTGAGTCAGATTTAGTTTTCAAATGGGACAACTGTGGTCAAGGTTCGAATCTGCTACTTCGTCGAGGTAACAACATTAGCACTGCAGGGCCCGCCGTTCTACGCGAGTTTAATTTGTTATATTGTTTTTTCTCGTTTCCCTCCCATGTGTTTTTTTCCCCAGCTGTCTCAGGTCGTGAGACAGACGACCCCACGCGGACCTCTCACCACAGCAGTGCAGCCCTTCGTATAAAAGAGAGCGCCTCACAGAAGCGGATATCACAGAGCTACCTCCGAGGTCCCTTGCAGTGACCTCTGGTCCACAAAGAAAGAATATTTCCTAACGGGCTCTTGCCACATGTTTGTCGCGTGGCATCGAACTGGCATGTTCCATTCTCAGAGCTGGAATTTACACCACACTGTGTGCAGAAACAAATCTAATCCGAAAGGATTATTCCGTGGGCAGTCATTGGTGAAACAGGCTGAGACCATGGACTTCCCTGCATTGGCTTCCCGTTGCGGAATGAGTACATTACGAGGTCGCACTCCTTACACACAAAGTGTTCGTCACAAGTGAACCACAACACCTTGCTGATCTCGTCCAGGAGCATAAACCATCACGCGAACTCTGGTCATCCTCGCAGCGGCTTCTGGCTGGCCATCGAACAAAGATGGTCACCGCATCGCGCGCTTTCAGATGCACTTCTGCGGCCGTCTGGAACGCTCTTCCTTCCGATATGAGAAAGCCACTGGAGCGATGCACATTTAAATAATCTAGATCGAAAACTAATTTCTTTTAAACTGCTCATTGTGTTTACTTTATTTTCCTTGCCCCCACACCTCTGATTAGCACGGTTGATTACATTCAGTGGGAAGTAAGTTCAACATACACACGCACAGACATTCTTGAGAACGCGGTTTATAATTCACAGGCGACTTGCCGGAACTCAAACCCAGCTCGGCGCTCTGACCTCTGAGCCACCCGGCCACTTTCTCCACAGTTGCTTAAACAATACAGACGTTGTGTATTATTACAATATACGCTTTGTGTAGTAGCAGTAGTGGTAGCATCACCATCGTCTTATGTCTCCACGATGCAGAGAGCCCACCACACGAGTCATGCAATGAGAGGAATGCGGCATCGCGGGGTCGGCCCATGGGAGCCATCGAGACTCAATGAGGCATTCGCGGGGCAGAGATTTCAGCGTCGCGATGCGGCGTTCGCGCAGCCCGGCGGGTGACGCCTCTGCTCCTCGTCATCCCAGGGGGGGTGGGGGGGTTAGCCGGCCACGGGATAACGCGTTGAGAATTTCCCCTCCTCTGGAGCGCTCGCCGCGCACGACTGTCTGTCGGCGGAATCAAGTCGACTCCTGAAGATGCCCCGCGGGGCGCCGAATTAAACTGTGGTCACGGAGTTCGTAGGAGTGGAAGTGCGCAAAACCCAACAAAGACAAAGATCCCCCGTGTAGCCTTAACAGACTGTAGGGGGAAGTGCTATTAGCGAGCACCTATAAAGGCCGGTACGGAACACGAGGGGTGGGTGGCCAGCACCACGCCCAACCGCATTTGTCTCCCTAGTGGCGATGTTTACACATTGCACAGGTACTCATTTGAGGCTGAGTCGACTTAGGGGAGGCCCAGGACCGGTTAAAATAATCATCACTGGGTGTTGGCCGTGAGCGGGAATCGAACCCGGGTCGCCAGGTTGATAGCGCAGCGTGCTAACCGCTGCACTACCGCTCCCCATTCAGCACAGACACACACACGCACGCACGCACCGCAATACAATGCGGTGCGTACTCACGGAGCGTCGAAACGCAACCACATCTCACGACTCGCTGTACGGAAGCAGCGGGCGTGTGTTTGTGTTGCACAGCGATTGCAGCCAGTCGAAGGGCAGAGCGGGGGGGGGAACGAGAGGCTTTTGTGTCCGGATTTCAACCAGGGGGCTGGGAATCAAGGGCACGGGGCACGGATGGCGGGGGGAGAAGGGAGGTCGAGGCAATGAGGGAAGCAGAAGAAAATGAGCCAACGCCCATTGAGAGTAGATTTGTCAGGGAACCTAAACAAATAGCCGTGGTCGCTGGAGCACAGAGCGCACGGAGGGGAGAGAGACGAGAAGAGAGAAGTGGGAGAGCACTCAGAAGGTGGTAGAGTGAGATGAGAGGGAGTGGTAAGACAGGGGTTGAGTCCACGGAGATCGTGATGACAGTGAGGGCAACCTTGACATGAACCCCAGCATGGATTGGGAGCTAGTGCTTGGACTGGAGTGCTGGGGGCTGTGGTTCCCTCTTGTCGGTGTGGATGTGGAGTCTGGAAGATTCGTTTCGGGTTACCTGGAGTGTGGAGGCAAGGGATTTGGGAAGGCCGGAGACGGGAGCGGTGCAATAACCGAGCCGGGATGCGATGAACGCGTGGATGTGACCCTCATCCATCCACATCCACACATGTCTACAACAAAAGTCCCCCATAAAGCCATAAACAGACAGTTGGGGCAAGTGCTGTTAGTGAGCATCTATGAAGACCACCGTGGCATACAAGGGGCTGGGTGGTCAACACAATGCCCAGCTGCCTTTGTCTCCCTAGCGGAAATGTTTACACACCGCACCAGGTACTCATTTGAGGCTGAGTCGACCTATGGGAGGAGGCCCAGGAACCGGTTCTGATGATCGTCACTGGGTGTTGCCCGTGAGCTCAAATCGAAACCGGGTCGCCGGGTCCGTAGCGCAGCGCGCAAACCCCGACACTAAAAGCCCCAGCTTATATTTGAATCGACGACACACACACGCACGCACCTGGCACGATTCCCCGCGGTAGCTGCTGGGACAGAAGCACTGCTCCACGGGGGCTGCGTCGGGCTCCACGCGCACGCGCCCCACGTGCAGCACGTAGGCCGGGCCGCTGCTCGCGGAGCCGGAGGAGTCGTAGACGGAGCCGGCGTGCGAGCGCAAGGCGGCCGTGACGTGCGGGTACGACGGGGGAACCCCGAGCGCGCGCACGTGCAGCTCCTGCAGCCCGGCCAGCACCAGCACGAGCTCCTCGCGCGTCACCCCGCGGCTCCCGCTGCTGCTGTGCACGAAGTTCCCCTGGGAACGGTGGGCGGGAGGGGTCGGCATGCAAGCAGGAACGGCAATCACACGATTGGCCGGCATCAACAATTGCCCAAGTTTTGCGGTCCTCTCAATATGAAGGCGTTGTCGGCCAATGAATGAGTGTTTACGTGTGGAAGAAAACCGGAGCACCTGGATACAACCCAGTGGTGCGAGGGAGAACCACTCTATCCCATACAAACGGAGCTGGTGGAGTCAACATTTTTGCTACTACCGCCGTCTCCTGGCGAGCCAGGGTACAGCTCCTCCTCGACCGCCCACACGAAGGGAGTTGCGCAACATTTGTGCTGCAATCCACCAACTCCTCGCCTCCACAGCGCTGGATTACGGGACAAATGCATCACCGCCGCCACCACCGCCCGAAGATCTTATGTTTCGCCACGGTGCCACCTTGCTGGATGTGTTGTGGCGAGTCACGGCAGCTACACGTGAAGCCGTGCCAAACCGGGGATCCAGTATCCCAATGAGTGGTCAGTGCTTATGCTGTGACAGATGGAGCCTAAGAGTTGTGCCTCTGTGAAACAATTGATGATCTTTCAAAAAAACCCACTTGCTGCACTACAACACGACCAGCAAACTGTACAGGTGGGTGTGGAATGCGTCTAACGACTCCATCTCTGTGCGATCCGCTAACCCCCACCGAAGTGACTCGATTACACGTAGCTGTGCGTCACAACGTTCGGTACAGGCTAAACCGTGCACCCAGGATAAAGAGAGATGGCGATCCTTTATTTACTTTCTATTTAGTAGCACAATTAATGAATTACGTATTTGTTACCAAGCTGTGAGGAGGTGCTTGCACCGGACTATGTTGCCCGCTACTCCAGAGTCGCAAGTTCAAATCCCGGTTCGGGGTTTTTCGCACAGCGCATCATCACCATCATCCCATTTTCACATGATGAGCCACTTCGTTGAGCTATAATTTGTGGCCTGGTCGCTTCTGAAAAAGAGCTACATAGCTCAGTGGGCCTCACGTGGTAAAACAAAAATTTTAAAAAATATCTAGTTAAAAATCTATAAACAGGTACCACTTTGTCAGAATTCGACAGGGGCTGCCATATGGAGAGACTGGCTCGCGCACAACGAGACTGGAGAATTCCCAAAGATGGCTCTAGGCCACCCACAGACACGAGCCTCGCAGGCAGACGCTTTGACGCCCTCGCTCGCCAGCGTGTTTAGTGGAGTGACGACGGCTGACGCCGAGAGTCGGTGGTGTTCACCTCCACGAGCTGCACGTTGCCCTCGCTGGTCTGGTCTGGCCCAGGCCTCTCCTGCCCCATGTGCAGCAGCGTGAGGCCATTGCCCTGTAGGGGATGGTAGGGGGGACGGGGGGCGTGGGACGAGCGTAGAACACAGCAGCCAGCGTTAGGGGGGAGGGAGGCGCCTGGTGCCGCACACGCGCGCACCGACGCGCGGATGCGAGCGTGGTCGGGGGGCAGGCGCAGACAAACCAACACACACGCACACAGAGTCCAGCTTCAAAAATGTGATTTTATCATCGAGAGTTGATGTTCACGACATGGGGCATCGGCCATATGATTCAGTGGCAATTGGACAAGGCAATTTGACAGGCAACGCCAGGCCTTACGGGAAAAAGACAAAGATACCCCCTATAGCCTGAATAGACTGTTGGGGCAAGTCCTGTTAGCAAGCACCGAAGAAGGTCGCCACAGTACACGAGGCAGTGATTTATTAACCGAACATGGGCATGCATCATGGCTCTCACCGATAGGAGCAGTAGAGGGCGATGATCATGTGATATTGCGCTGGGCACCTCCACGGGGCCCTCCCAGCTCATCTGATAGCTCAGGGTGGCTCCATACCAGTGGACCTGCAACACACAAACAAACATATGCACACATTCGTATGTAGACAAAAATACCCCGTGTAGCCTTAACGGACTGGTGGGGGCAACTGCTGTGAGCGATCACCTCTGAAGGCCGGCACGGCACACGAGGGCGTGGGTGGCTAGCACCTTTGTCTCCCCAGTAACGATGTTTACACACTGCAACAGGTACTAATTTGAGGCTGAGTCGACCTAGGGGAGGCCCAGGACCGGTTCAAATAATCATCACTGGGTGTTGGCCGTGAGCGGGAATCGAACCTCGGGTTGCTGGGTTCGTAGCGCAGCGCGCTAACCACTACACTTCCACATACACATGCATACATACATGCACATGTACAGACACACTCTAATGTGCACACGCATGCAAAGACAAAGATCCCCCATATACCCTTAACAGACTGTTGGGGCAAGTGCTTGCAACAACAACCGCCATTCGCCACTAAGTGGCGGAGACGTCACCACGACACTTGTGCCAGGCCAAGTGCACCTTGAGGCCACATGAAGTGTCGAACGCCCGCTGGCAGGAGGTCACGGGGCAGACCCAGCAGGTCTCACACACACACACACACGCGTGTACCTTGTCACCCAGATAGGAGGCAGGAGCCGCCCAGTAGACCTCGTTAAGCGGGGACTCCGGCTCCCAATCCCGCACGGTCGCACGGTTCCTGTGCCGGTCAAGGTGGGCGAAGATTGGACCCTGTCGGCCCCCAACCAATCTCCAACCAGCCATCTCCATCACCTACACACACACAAATGGGTGCAGACAATCTCAAACACCCATCTCCATCACCTTCACACACAAAAACAAAGATCCCCTGTATAGCCTTAACAGACTGTTGGGGCAAATTCTGTTAGCGAGCACCTATAAAGGCCGGCACGGTACACCAGGGAGTGGTGCCAACACCACGCCCGACCACCTTTGTCTCCCCAGTGGCTACGTTTTTACACAGTGAAAAAGGTACTTATTTGAGACTGAGTCGACCTAGTGGAAGCCCAGGACCAGTTCAGATAATCGTCACTGGTGTTGGCCCTGAGCGGGAATCGAACTCTGGTGGCCGGGATGCGTAGAGCAGCGTGCTAACCACTACACTATTGCTTCCCACATAAACACAGGTACAACCAATCTCCAACCAGCCATGTCTAACTCCTTCACGCGCAGAGGCAATGCCAATCTCCATCACCCAGACACACACGAGCATAGACAACCTCAAACCAGCGTTCTCCATCACCTACACACACACACACACAGAGGAGCACGTGGACATCGTGCCTCACTCAATAACGATCCAACCATCTCCATCATCTTCATACCAATACAGCACATGGACAGATGGACTTAATTGATAACTGCAGAGATACACACACTACCGTGACATTGACACAAGAGCACATTCAACAAACATCTTGCAAAATCCACAGCAACACAGGGACACATGGGCACACAAGCACACTCAATAGCAATACTAATGCCCTTAATTTATCAAAAAAAAACTCACTGGATCTCAAGACCCTTTTTCAAGGGTGGACCTGCACTGGAATGGTTGGCCAATCCCATTCACGAGTGGCGTTTTTGAGAAGAAACCATAATATCCAGAGAAAACCCACACTCACGAGGGGGTTGACACTCAGCGCTCGTACACTTGGGCAAGGTCACACTGGCCGACTAAACAACCACACGGCCATCTCAACAACAACAGCAGCCAATCCACACGAATCGTCACCATCATCACTGTTGTTGTCACAGGCCAATAATGTCAGGGTCATCCCAAGCCCAACCGGGACGGCAAGAGCCGCGAGCACCGCGGAGGTTTTTATTTATTTATTTATATTACCGGTTCCCAGCGCCGGACGGAACTCTGGCACTGGTCGGTGACGCCAAAACAGAAGCAGCTGGTGCAGCCCTTGGGGTTTGCGGCACTCAGGGAGAAGGTGCCGGCCCGGCACCGCTCGCACCGTCCGCCCTCCACGTTCTCCTGCGAGCCGGCACACAGACGTCACCGGGGGTGAGGTGGCCGCCGGCAGGGGGTGGGGCTCCAACACAGTGGCCGTGAAGGTGCTGCTCCTCTACCGTGAACTCCCAGCTGTCGTGTGGGTGTGCGTCTATCGCTCTTGCGGGGAGCGGTAGTGTCGTGGGTAGTGCGGTGCGCAACGGACCCGGCCCCCCGAGTTCGATTCCCGCTCACGGCCAACACCAGTGATGGTTATCTGCATCTGTGCTGAGCCTCCTCCACTAGGTCGACTCGGCCTCAGATGAGCACATGGTGCAGGGTGTAAGCATTGCCACCATGGGCGTGGTGCTGGCCACCACTCCTTGTGTGCCAGTGCTGGCTTTCATAGGTGCTCGCTAACAGCACTTGCTCCTGCCGTCTGTTAAGGCTATACAGTGGATCTTTGTCTTTGTATCACAATTATTTTTATAATTTTACTTGTTTACCCAGGAAATTATCATCGAGTCTCAAGGCACGTTTTCTGGAGGGTCCTGCCAAGTATTGGGCGACGTTGCCGTGTGTAATCCCAGCTGAGCAATTTTCCGATTTTTTTTTTCAGCAACGGGACGTTCGGCCAATACCAGTTGCAATGTATGTGTTTTTGTTGGTACGATATGCAACTGAAGAACGCAGAGGAAATTCCATGCGAAACAGTGGGAGAACACAGAAACTCCACACAGAAAGGCTCCCCGAGCCAAAAATGAAACCGAGGCGCTTCCTGCTGCGAGGCGCGAGCGTTACCACCGTGTGCCATTCCGCCCCGTAATGATGACACTGGACTGCAGGGGGGGGCGGCGCGGGGGGCTGGTGGAGGGGGGCCGGGTGTGGGTGTGGGGGCTGCACCTTGCACAGACACTGCCCGGTAAAGGGGTCACACTGGGCTTCAGTGATCCCGGCCAGTTCGCAGTTGCAGGGCAAGCAGTCCGGGTACTGGAAAAATCCGGGCAGGCACTGGTCGCACTGCCGCCCAGACACGTTGGCCTTGCACCTGCGCGGCAGAGAGGGCACGGGAACACGGCGTCACGGCAAACCCCACATTAGCGTCAGCCTTACAGCTGTAGGCGACGTAAGATGGTGCTGTTAGGGAGCACCCATTAATGTCGATGCGAAGCATGAGGGCATGCTGTGGCAAAAACCATATTCGTCCGACTGCCTGTCTTCCCAGTATGTATGTTGAACGTCTTTTGAATCGTACGTAGCCAACTGTACTATTCAGAGGTCGGGGGGGGGAAGGAAAACAAACTAAACACAAGAAGCAGTTCTAAAGAAATGAGTTTTCAATCTAGGTGATTTAAAAGTGCATAGCTCCAGTGGCTTCGTAATATCGGAAGAGTGTTCCAGATGACCACAGCAGCACATCTGAGAGCGCACGATGTGGTGACCATCTTTGGTCGATGGTCAGCCAAAAGGCAGTGTTATTGATTAATGCATTGGGTTTCTTCACAATTGTAATGTTCCAAGTTAAAATCGCGGTCAGGAGTTCATGTGATGGGTGACCGCAGTTGGCAGTTGGCAGTACCCACAAAGACAATACCACTGCACCAGGTATACATTTTATGCCGAGGCAACCTAAGTGAGGGACAGGCGAATTTTAAAAATACAAATTGCCACTGGGGATTTGTGTTATCAGGAACTGGGCGCAGGATGTTTTGTGGGGGACCCTACGGCACTGGCACCCCGCATGGGGCATCTACAGGGCGTACGGCGATTGCGCACGCTCAGATTCTTCTGCACAGGATCGTGACAAGAATTGTTTTGACCCTTTCTGGCAATAGAACAGCAGGTGTTAAGATGTCCAAACACCAAATAGAAGCCTTTTACACTGAATCAAGTCTGCATTAACCACACACTGTACTTGTGAACGTGCAAACAAAACATGCTCTGATAACAGATGCATTGTATTTCAAACCGATTGGCCTACACCAGAGACAGCCTTCTTTATGGCCTCGTCTCACCAGTGTCAGACCACGGAACACTAAAAGTCGAACAGCACAAAGACAATGGCACACGTATCAGGGCATTGAGAGCTCAGGGTGAGCGGCTCGTGATGGCACGTGTGGCTGGGCCTAACCCGTTGGTTTTCACGATGGTTGCGGCTTTCCACGTTTCTTGGGTTTCTCCTCTCAGTTTCTTGGGTTTATTTGTACGTTTCTTGAGTTTCTCTCCGTTTCTTGGGTTCATTACGACGTTTCTTGGATTTCTCCTAAGTTTCTTGGGTTTATTTCTACGTTTCTTCGGTTTCTTTCTACGTTTTTTGGGTTTATCCTCAAGTTTATTGGCTTTCTCATCTCAATTTCTTGCGTTTCTATCTGGGTTCTTTGGGTTTCTCCTAATTTTATTGGGCTTCTCCTATCAGTTTCTTGTTTTTTAGAACCTTCTTGGGTTTCTTTCTACGTTTCTTGGGTTTATCCTCTCAGTTTCTGGGGTTTCTTTTCTACGTTTCTTGAGTTTCTCTCCTCAATTTCTTGAGTTTCTATCTGGGTTCTTTGGGTTTCTCCTTAATTTATTGGGCTTCTATCAGTTTCGTGGGTTTTTTTAGAACCTTCTTGGGTTTCTTTCTACGTTTCTTGGGTTTATCCTCTCAGTTTCTTGGGCTTCTCATCAGTTTCGTTTCTACGTTTCTTAGTTTCCCCCCACCCACCCCTCGACAATTTCTCACCGGCACTGCCCGGTCTGCGAGTCGCAGCTGGCGGGCTGCGGGTTGAGCGTCCCCTCGCCGGCGCAGGCGCACTCCTCGCAGCCGACGAGTGGGTGGCAGCCGAAGCTGAGCGGCTCGCACTGCGTGCACTCGGGCAGCAGTGTGCGCTGCGGGCAGATGCAGCCGCCCGTCGACTCATCGCACAGCCGCCCGCCGCACTCGCACGCTGTGCACGGCAGACAGAGACAAAGATCCCACCCCTGTGAAGCCTCAACAGACTGTTTGGGGGGCAAGAAGCAGCAGCTGTGAAGGCCGGCACGGCACACGAGGGGGGTGGGTGGCCAGCACCACGCCCGGCCGCCTTTGTCTCCCCAGCGGCGATGTTTATGACACACCGCACCTAGGTACTCGTTTGAGACCGAGTCGACCTAGGGGAGGCCCAGGATCGGTTTAGATAATCGGCACAGGTGTTGGCCGTGAGCGGGAATTGAACTCGGGTCTCCGGGTTCGTAGCGCGGCAAACACACGCACGGTTAGACACGGTGTGGCAATTATTTACGACCGTGGTTCTCAACATTCTTGTTGGCTACTGCACCCCCCCTTGTTGAATTTTGTTTCAACCGAGTAACCCCCCACCACCCCCTTGCCTGACCCAACATGGTTCTGAGAAATCAACGTATGAATGACGTCAAATTTTTAGCAATTGTCCATTTTTTGGCTAGTGAACTGCAATGGATAAAAACAAAGTCAACGGACGCTCCGCACTGAGTGACACAATTTGTTCATGTCTTGACTTAAAGCTTTCGTGACTGCAGGAATTCATATTCTTTGGGTCTTTCGGTAAAACTGCTGAGGCAGGAAAAAATATAAATATTTTTCCTGCCTCAGCAGCTGTCCCGCTATATTTTTCACCTGATGGCGATTGCTTGTGTTGCGATCGAAACGTCATGATATTGTTATAATTGTATTAATTGTATAATTTTTCTATCTACGTAGCTTTACCGAAAAACCCAGAGAATATTAATTTGTTCATGCTCGCCGGTTACTCTTGGAAGCCCGCATTGTTTACGATCAATACGTTTAGAAAGGTATTTTATATCGTTATACGTTACCATGGGGATTGAAATTATATCGTAGTAATTATATATTGGCAGATTCATACAACATGATTATTCACCAGTGACTCTCATGCAAAATAAAATTAACAGACTTATACATAACCTCATGTACCCTCAGGGGTCCGCGTACCTCCCAGCTGAGAACCACTGCTTTATGATAACGCTAATCTTTCAATTTCCTGTCACATTAGAATCAGAATATGTATTTATACCAGTAGGAATCTGATGAGCTATGGAGCTCTATTTCCATGATGTCCAGTAGAGGCACGGGGTCAGGACGTTATAACAACAAACAATGCAAAAACACGATCGGGGTGCAAAGTATAGAAAAGATAAGCCAATCACTAAAATATAAAAATATTTTATTTGACCAAATGAAGCCCACTGAGCTACTGGCTTCATCACACATTGCTGGCCGTTTACAAATGAGTACAATGGTCACCCTATATCGGTTTAAAATGTTCTGTCATTTAATTGCAATTGTCCTGTGGACAGTCTAAATAATAATCGCTCGCCGAGCCGACTAGCGCTACAGAGAATTGATCATTTAACGTCGATTTATGTTTGTGCACGTGTTTCAGTTTCTCGATTAACTACCCAGTTGTTTATGCTGTGATTTCTGTTCGCTTCAAAACTGGACTCTATTTGACTTGTTTTGCTTTCATCATTTTGGTGAGCTCGGTCACCCTTTGCAAATCTAATTCTCGTCTCTCGAGATTCTTGCCTGGTTCAACAAAATCAACTTGAACACAGACGCAAACACACATACGTGAACGAGTCTATACAAATACAGCCCTTAATCTGAATGTCTCAACAACCTCTAGGATACTTTCCGACAAGGTATAAAGCTGAAATTTGGTACATAGGTAGCTTTTAGGACACAAACAACCGGACACATCGGAAAATCCGAGATTAAAAATTTTAAGGTCTAGATTTTAAGTGCCCCATAAACATGTTTGTGCGTAGTGTCATTCAAAAACCGCTAAAAATATAAGTTTGTAGTTTTTTTCGTTCATAGAGAATTAAACAGTAAAATAAAATGAATACATGAACCATTGTTCTATCTTTTATTGTTTTTAGATATTTCGGATTCAAGCGGTTTTGAACGAAAAAAAAACGCATTTTATATCATGTTCAAATCTGAATAATTCGAAAACGGCAAAACATAGCAGCTTCCCCTCATAAAGGTGGAGGAAGTAGTGGAGGAGGTGGTGGAGGGTGAAGGTCTGGGAGGGTGGAGGAGGGTAGGGGGATACTCACGACGGCAGTGTGGGAAGCCGTAGTGCCCCGTGGCGCATCGCGTGCACTGCCGGCCGATCACGTTGGCCCGGCAGCGGCACTGCCCGCCGTGTGGCTCGCAGTCGGGGCCCAGCGAGCCGGCGCCGTGGCACTCGCACGGCCGCGCGCCGCCGTTGTGGAAGGCGGAGAGGGAGGCGGACGCGTCGCGGCAGAAGGGCGGCGATGCCGCGGGGCTGCACGCCGCGGCCAGGCACATGAGGTGGGGGGTGGGAGGACGGGGTGAGGGTGAGACCGATCTGTAGGACCGCGCAACAGCGCATTCCCGAATTGACAGAAGTTGATTATGTTGAACGGGGGAGCACTGGTGGCGAGATGTTAACTCCCTCGCCTGGCATGCAGGAGGTCGTGGGTTTGTTCTCGACCCCGAGTTTACATGTTCTCCCTGTGGTCGCGTGGATTTTTCTCCGGGTCCTCCCGGTTTTTTCCTCCACGTTCAGAAATATGCGTTTATCGTATTTGGCTGCAATACATTTCCACGTGATGTGCCATTTCCTTGAGCTATGTCATTTGTGGCAAGGTCGCTTCTAAAAAAAGAGCTATATAGCTCAAGTGGGCCTTACCTGTTAAAATAAAAATAGATAGTTTCATAGTTTGTTCATGTGCATGTTGCTGCTGCTGGTGGTGTTTTTATTGAACGTGCAAGGTGATGGCTTACTCGACGTGAAAGCTGTTTCCTCCGCAGAGCGAGATGAAGTCGGCGGACTTGTCGGTGGGCTCGGGGGATAACATGGTGGGGTCAAACGAGTCCTCCGGCACCGCGAGCACATACTCCTGGGAGAGGCGGCGCGCACAAACACAGCCCACGTCAGGGACCACCAACGCGCCGGGGTGGTGTCTTTACAGAAGCTCACCACCACCATCATTATCATCATCACGATTACATTCAATTGCATTTTAATTCCTGAACCTGGAGAGGGCTGGATCCACGTGAACTGTTTTGGCCATCATCCCACCACTTTGTAGTCGAATGATGGTCATTGTCACTATGTATGTTGGGGGAGCGGTAGCGTAGGGGTTAGTTCGCTGCGCTACGAAACCCAGGGACCCGCTCACGGCGAACACCAGTGAGGAATATCTGAACTGGTCCTGGGCCTCCCCTAGGTCGACTCAAATGAGTACCTGGTGCGGTGTGTAAACATCGTCCACTGGGGAGACAAAGGCGGTCGGGCGTAGGTGCTGGCCACCCACCCCCTCGTGTGTCGTGCCGGCCTTCATAGGTGCCCACTAAGTCCGTTAAGGCTATACAGGGGATCTTGATCTTGTATTTATGTTGAACTTCATTTGCACCATACATAGCCAACCATGCTAATTGGAGGTGCGGGGGAACAACAACAAACTCAACACAAAAAGCAGTTCTAAAGAAATGAGTTTTCAATCTAGATGTAACAGTGTACTGCAACTCCAGTGTGGCTGATCCGCACACAGCCACGCCACTACTCGCACTGCTCTTGCGGGATTCCCGGATATCACCGGAACATCACAGAAGCAGCGTGGAACAAGCTCCACATATGAACAGTTCACCTCCACTGCCAGCCCCGTGGCGGGGAGTCAAGAATTCCATAGGTTTATGGCAGGGGTCAGCCTCTCCATAAAATGACCACTGCATATTTCCTACAAACTAGAAGTTATTTTTATCTACCCAGGCAGGATAGATAGGCCTGAGTCAACCCCCTCAACAGAGTCAATCTTGATTTGAAGCTTTCGTGATTTTAGAATCCATACTCTTCGGTTCTTTCGGTAAAGTCACGTAACAGAGATTTGAATTCACTGCCTTGCAACTGTAAAGCTCTCCAACGGCAATGCCACCCAACCAGATTCCACACACAACCAGCGGAGAGAAAGCAATAGAGATGAACGTGGCTACGCATTTAAAGCTATCACTTTAAATGCCAGAGAGGACACGTTTGGTCTCGACCACAATTGCAGGCGTCGACGGGCTTTGGACACCGCACACGGACATCAAGACATACGCATGCTTTCACTGCCCTCCTGCATGGCCCTTTCACCTGCGGTGGGATGAACCTTGTGAAGGCAAAACCTGTCTATCATATTCAACCTCATGGTCTCTCTCCTAACCCTTATAGGCACGGTTCTTAAACTGGCAACCCCCGGGGGTCAGTCGGAGAGGTCCATACCAAGCTGTGGCCCCACTGAGACGCAAGGATTGTGACATACGATATGAGACATCTGTAGACGAGAGATTAAAGAGATGAAAGCGAGGTGACACCCGGAGGCATTATTAGCTATCACACGTGTACACAGGTTACGATAACACGATGCCCCACACGACGCCATCACGTGACGCGTGGCACCACGCGGCCCTCCGGCGCACGCGGCGTTTGCAATGCCCCCCCTCCCCCCCCCTCGTGGACCAGAGGCGATGACTGCGTGGCAATGCCGTGCAAGTTCCTCCGTGACCGCGCGTCGCGATGCTCGCGGAGGCTGCTGACCAGCCAAAGGGAGCGGCCGTGCGGCACGATGACGGTGGCGACGACGTGCAGAGACGTCACGTCCAGCCCCAGCCAGCCGTCGGCCTCCACCGCCCCGCGGCAGCCCCGGCCGTGCACGCAAGCAGAAGCGTTGAGCTGCCCTGCAAGCACGGAGCACGCACGCCGCACCACCACTGTCAGCAATGCCAGCGTCTCATCAGCATCACGCTCTCTCGCTGCCAACCCATCGTGTCTTTGTCCCTCTGCTAGAGCTGCTATCATGGTCGTTAGAACAGCCACTCGCTCATCGTTGATCCGTCTCCGCCCTGTCTCTCCAAAGCCTAATATCGTGGTCCCTTTCACCTTACGGCACGACTCGTGCCAGCACACGCTCATTTTACCATGGGACTCACCGGCCAATATACGCCGGCGGGTCCCATGGCAATGCCCACTGGGCTATACAGCTCTTTGTCAGAAGTGACCTGGCCACAAACGAAGTGGCTTACCACGTGGAAATTTAGAGCAGCCAAATGCTCAAAAAGCACGCCGATTCTAAATGTGGAGGGAAAAACTGGAGGGCTCGGAGAAAAATCCACATGACCATGGGGAGAGAGAGACACGCAAACTCCAAATATACAGCAGGCATCACGGTCGGGATGGAACCCACAACCTCCTGTACACCAGGTGAGGTAATTAACATCTCGCCACCGTGGCGTGTTGCATGTGGTGGGGGTGGATGGGTAGAGGGGGGGGGAAAGGAGGGGGGGGAACAGACCATGCCACGAGAGCCCGGCGTCCAGGTGGATGTCGGTGCGGAAGGACGGGTGCAGGGGCTGGTGGAAGTGCACCACGAACACGTAGCGCCCCACAGCCGGCACGGCCAGACGCACGCTCGCTCGCACCTGCAGATAAAAACAAGGATCCCCCGTGTAACCTGATCAGACTGTAGGGGCAGGTGGGTGTTAGCGAGCAGCTACGAAAGCCGGCTCGGCACGGGAGATGGATGGGTGGCCAGCACCACGCCCGGCCGCCTTTGTTTCCCAAGTGGTGAGGTTTACGCTCCACATTGGGTACGCATTTGAGGCTGAGTCGACCTAGGGGGAGGCCCAGGACCGGCTCAGGTAATCGTCACCGATGTTGGCCGTGAGCGGGAATCGAACCCGGGTGGCCAGGTTCGTAGCGCAGCGCGCTAACTGTTACACTGCCTGCCGGCAGGCAGTCCTAAAGTTGTTTTATTGTCATTAACGTTGCTTCTGAATCGCGGGTGCACGTCCGTGGGCGAAATAATGGAGCCGGTGAATTTTCATTTCCGTGGGCTATCCCTTTTCTTGCGCGTGGCAACGTTCAGGGGCTAAATGGCAATGTCGAGTTCTGCTGCTGCTGCTGGCCACGAGAGGGCTTCAGCAGAGAGAGAGAGTTTGCATCTTCTTGGTTCTTTCGGTAAAGTCACGTAGAAGGGAAGTAATAAAATAATAAAAATAAAACATAATAAAAACGTCGTGAGAATTATTTTATTATGTTTTATTTTTATTATTTTATTACTTCCGTTCTAAGTGACTTTACCAAAAGAACCAAGAAGATGAATCCCTGCAGTCACGAAAGCTTTAAATCGAAAGAGTTTGCATCGTTGTGCTTTTCCTCCTCGTCCGCGGAAGGAGCCCACACCACCGTGGTGTGCCGTGGGCTGCGTCCTCCTCTCCCTGCTGGCGCTTTCCACGTGCCGCGCTCACCTCCTCGCCATGCAGGTGGATGAGTGGTGGCGCTCCCTGGGCGCTGGAAGGCCTCTGCTGCCTGTCGTCGGTGGGGACCGGGCCGCCCCCCTCGGAGCGCACCGAGCCCGCCGGCTGAGAGAACGTGGAGTCGATGCAGCGAGCGCTGAGATGCACGCGCACACAAAAGACAAAGATTTCCCCCCCCCCCCGGTGTAGCCTTAATAGACTGTTGGGACAAGTGCTGTTAAGCGAGTAGCAGCACCTATGAAGGCCGACACGGCACACGAGGGGGTGGATGGCCAGCAACACGCCTGGCCACCTTTGTCTCCCCAGTGGCAATGTTTACACACCGCACCAGGTACTCATCTTTGAGGCTGAGTCGACCTAGGGGAGACCCAGGACCAGTTCAGATACTCGTCACTGGTGTTGGCCGTGAGAGGGAATCGAACTCGAATCGCCAGGTTCGTAGCGAAGTGCGCTAACCGCTACACTCCAGCTACCCACACGTACACACTTCCGCACTCAGAACCTGATTGTGGGGAATGAGAGTGGCGGTGCGATGGCGAGGGTGCGAGCGTCTACCTCTGGCTGGGATGAGTACCGTGCGTGCTCACACAGTGCACGAGTGACTCCACCAGCTCCATGCTGAAGTCCTTGTACGGGACAGCATATATCTTGTGCTGCAGCAAGGAGAAAAATAAACAACAATGCATCAACCATCTATAAGCGAGACACAACCCAAAACAAGCATGTGTTGTTTTATTCAGTAGTGGACCGAGGCCGTGTATCAGGAGCTGCCCAACGCGATATTTGAACCTCAGTGGCGAGTGAGAAAAATGCTTTTATAGCGCTAAAAAAATATAGCTTCCACGTGTGCCAACATGGCGGCCTCCAGTGATGTCACTGGGCCCCGCCTCCAGTGACGTCACTGGGCCACGCCTCCACGCTCCGAGTGGCGTGCTCTAAGGCAGTGATTCTTAACCTGGGGGTGCGAGACATTGGCAAATTTGTTTTCAAAAAATTAATTATCGAAACACAAATTAAGCACGGGCACGTGAGTACAACTACTTTGTTTCATCAAACCTATGTATTTATTAAGATTATTTAAAAAATGCAACGATTGAGAATCCAATGGGGTGCAAGGCTGCAGTAAAGGTGAAGAGTCCACTGCTCTAGAGCAGCGGCTCCCAACCGGTGGTTGTCAGTGAGGCTACTACAGGGGGGTCCCGTGGATACAAAATAATAACATCCTCGCCAAGGAAAGGGACAATTTCGAACGGCTAGTAGTAGCGCGTGGCGGTCTGATACATGTTTGGAGGCTGAAAAGGGGTCCGCACACTCAAAGAAAGGTTGTGGGAAGCGCTGCTCTGGAGCTCCCTCCGAGCGCAGGCCTTTCCCACACCAGCAGCGGCGTCGACAAACAATTGAACGGCCGCGAAAGTATCTGAGATGGATATCTGGGATCAGTAGACGAGAGCGGGTCAGACACGAAGAGACGGGGAAGAAGTCAAGGGTGGCGGTGTCCATCTCCAGACAGGCTGAAAGGACGTCCACTCGAGATGTCTAGGAGCATGTGGAGTAAGAGGAAGAAGAAGAGAGGACAACCGAACGGGAAGATAGGCGACAAACGTGGAAGCGCCGGAGCGGAGACTAACGCCAAGAGAGAGAGGGTGGCTCGGGGTGGACAGAGATCGTAAGGATCGCGGAGTGGATGTGGAGGTCGGGCCCAGGATGGGGACGAGTGGAGATTCCCACACCGGGTGGGAAAAATACGAGGGGGAGGAGGCATGCAATGGGAGGGCGAGCGAGAGGCACCGCGGCCGCGAGGGGTGAGACTGACGAGGAGGAGGCGGTGCAGGCCCTGGCCGCTGACGACGACGTCGGCGCGGCTGGCGAGCGAGAAGACGGCGACGCGGCCACGAGCGTCCACCGCCACGGCCCGGCAAAGGAAGCTGCTCCGGCACGAACACGCGCACAACAACCACGCAGCGGCGGTGATGTCACTTCGGCGCTTGTGCCAGGCCCGGCGCACTTTTCAGGGCACGTGAAGTGTCGACGGCTCGCTGGCAGGAGGTCGCGCGTCACAGACCCAGGTGCCATGGGTCGACTGATTGAGATGACCGGTAGATGCACCACCTGTGCCCCCTACTGTGCCAACTTGCAGTGTTTTAGCCACCCAGCGCTCCGCTCGTTGTTGTGAGCGTCGCTCCTCTGCCCTGCATTGTTGCTGGAGGGCCACTTCCTCCAACTGCACAGTAGTAACATTAACGAGCCTCCTCCATAGAGGCCGATCTTGACACTAGTCATTGAGCAAGTCCGCTCCGCTCCACACCCTCCTGTACAACATCAGTCCATCCCTTCTCTAGCCAATGCCACGCCAATTTAGCTCCGTCTATCTGGCCAAACAGAGGTTACCTGGGCGTGCAGTGGCTGCGCATGCGGGTTACATGACCCAGCCAACGCAGCTTCGCAAATAATCCAGTCTGGTTAATCCCACGATGAATCACAGGCAGGCCAGCATGAATGTTTTAAAGTGGCGCAGATCTACATTTAAAGAGGTCCACATATTACGCAAGCAGATAAAAGATAGAGCCTAACTGTGACCGAGAAGACTTAGAGCTCTGTAAGGAGTGAAAGGCCAGGCAGTTTTTTACAGAGCAGTATGCAGCTAACGAAACGATAATGCTGCTTGAATGATTCGAAGTGAAACCTCTGCTGCCAAATTGGAGCAGGTCATGAGCACACTTATCAAGCAGCTACGAAGGCCAACACTGCACATGAGGGTGGTGGGGCTAGCACCATGTCCTCCGCTGTCTTTGGCTACCCCCATTCGTGATGTTTACACACCACATCAGGTCATTATTTAAGGCTGAGTTGACCTAGGGAAGGCCCAGGGCCGGTTCAGATATTCCAAAGAGGGTTGCCAGCTGTCCGCGTCTGACCTTGCCTGGGTTTGAGCCACGTGGGGGCCAAACATTATAATTTATTTTTATTCGACCAGGTAAGGCTCACAGAGCTATCTGGTCACTGAGCTATCTGGCCACGAAGTGGTGGCCTACCATCACGCGTAAATGTGTAGCAGCCAAATACTCTAAATGCGTGATGTTGATTCTAAATGTGGGAGGGAAAAACTAGAGGATCTGGAGAAAAATCCACGCGACCCAAGGGAGAGATAAAATGCAAACAGCAAATATACAGAGGTTTGTTTTGGATTAGATCGCGTAAATATAAATGTGTCGTTAAACCTGCCACCACCCGACGCATCCAATTAGTAAGGTTTGTCACATAAACAAAACATGCAAATTCGTTACTAGTACAGCACACCGGTGTGTTGGAGAGTAAACCCACAACATCTACAATTCGAGTATGACGTTTTGCCAGTAAATACCACTAGCATCATCATGTGATAGCCAGATTTGTGGAGAAATCCTCCTGTTCCATTCCTTAAATAGAGGGATAGATGCGATGTCATCACTTGCGAGCCAATCAGATGCCAAGGCCAAAGGAGGGGGGAGGGGTGAGCGTCAGGGTCGGGATCGAACCCACAACCTCCTGTACACCAGGCGAGACAGTTAACATCTCGCTACGCCTGCCAAATGATCGCCCATCCCCGGCCCCAGCCAGGCACCGCCTCCTCGTCAGCTCAGCTGAAGCTGTGGCGGCACGACTGGCGGGCAGCTCGCCGCTAAATACCGCCGGGGCAACCAAACGGAGAATTTACCCCGGGCCTGTAAAACACCGCGGGGTGGCACTTGGGGCCCGCCGCACCGGCGAGGCGTAGGAGAGGGCGGCCATCTGTGAAAAAGAGCTTCATAGCTCATCGGATTTCCTCCAGTCCGAAATAAAGATTCTGATTCTGGGTTGGGGGACGTTGGGGGGGGGGGGGGGCACCTGAAGTCGCAGGGCTGGATGGTGACGGTGGCCTGCGGCTCCGCACCCAGGCCGTGCCGCACCGTGACGGCCGGCGTCTGGCTCGCTTCGGCCTCGCTCGCAAACTCGAGCACGAGCGCATGCTCTCCCGGCTCCAGCCCGTCCAGCGTCACGTGCAAGTTGTCCTGCGCATGCACAGAAAACGTAGACAAAGATCCCCCGTACGGCCTTTAACAGTGTTGGGGCAAGTGCTGTTAGCGAGTAGCACCTGCGAAGGCTGTCACGGCACACAAGGAGGTAGGTGGCCAGCACCATGCCCGGCCGCCTTTGTCTCCCTAGTGCCAATGCTTTTACACATCGCACTAGGTACTCATTTGAGGCTGAGTCGACCTAGGGGAGGCCCAGAACCGGTTCAGATAAATATAATCGTCACTGGCGTTGGTCGTGAGTGGAAATCGAACCCGGATGACCGGGTTCGTAGCGCAGCAAGCTAACTGCTACACTACTGCTCCCCAGAACACACACGCATGCACGCACACGCACACATGCACACGCACGCTAAAAACGCGCACGCACGTACAGACACACCTATGCACATGCACCACGAGCGGAGTCTAAGTGGGGCCCCTCGTGCGCCACGCCGGCCTTCACAGCTGCTGCTCACTATCAGCACCTGCCCCCCAACAGTCTCTGCTAAGGCTACACGGGGGATCTTTGTCTTCGTGTGTGTAGTGGACGGGGGGGGGGGGGGGCACGCAGAGGAGACAGGAAGGTGGAAGGGGGGGAAGTCGCTTACATGCTGGGCGCCGAGTTCCACCACGGCAGCCGGGGAGGGGTGGGGCCGGGTGCGCCCCTGCACGGCGACGCGCTGGCCCGAGCGGTCCACGTGGAATCCGAGCGCCGCGGCCGCACTCGCGAAGCCGTCGAGCGGCAGGAAGGAGTAGAGCAGGCAGCTGGGACGCACGGGGCGGGGGGAGGGAGTGGGGGCGGATGAGAACCTGCCTGGGTGCCCTGTCTCAGTCTGCAGTGAGTCAGTGGGTGCCATGTCTCAGGCTGCAGTGAGTCAGTGGGTGCCCTGTCTCAGTCTGCAGTGAGTCAGTGGGTGCCCTGTCTCAGTCTGCAGTGAGTCAGTGGGTGCCCTGTCTCAGTCTGCAGTGAGTCAGTGGGTGCCCTGTCTCAGCCTGCAGTGAGTCAGTGGGTGCCCTGTCTCAGTCTGCAGTGAGTCAGTGGGTGCCATGTCTCAGGCTGCAGTGAGTCAGTGGGTGCCATGTCTCAGTCTGCAGTGAGTCAGTGGGTGCCATGTCTCAGTCTGCAGTGAGTCAGTGGGTGCCATGTCTCAGGCTGCAGTGAGTCAGTGGGTGCCCTGTCTCAGTCTGCAGTGAGTCAGTGGGTGCCATGTCTCAGTCTGCAGTGAGTCAGTGGGTGCCATGTCTCAGTCTGCTGAGTCAGTGGGTGCCATGTCTCAGTTTGCTGTGAGTCAGTGGGTGCCATGTCTCAGTCTGCAGTGAGTCAGTGGGTGCCATGTCTCAGTCTGCAGTGAGTCAGTGGGTGCCATGTCTCAGTCTGCAGTGAGTCAGTGGGTGCCATGTCTCAGTCTGCAGTGAGTCAGTGGGTGCCATGTCTCAGTCTGCAGTGAGTCAGTGGGTGCCATGATTCAGTCTGCAGTGAGTTAGTGGGTGCCCTGTCTCAGTCTGCAGTGAGTCAGTGGGTGCCCTGTCTCAGTCTGCAGTGAGTCAGTGGGTGCCCTGTCTCAGTCTGCAGTGAGTCAGTGGGTGCCTTGTCTCAGTCTGCAGTGAGTCAGTGGGTGCCATGTCTCAGTCTGCAGTGAGTCAGTGGGTGCCCTGTCTCAGTCTGCAGTGAGTCAGTGGGTGCCATGTCTCAGTCTGCAGTGAGTCAGTGGGTGCCATGTCTCAGTCTGCAGTGAGTCAGTGGGTGCCATGTCTCAGTCTGCAGTGAGTCAGTGGGTGCCATGTCTCAGTCTGCAGTGAGTCAGTGGGTGCCATGATTCAGTCTGCAGTGAGTTAGTGGGTGCCCTGTCTCAGTCTGCAGTGAGTCAGTGGGTGCCCTGTCTCAGTCTGCAGTGAGTCAGTGGGTGCCCTGTCTCAGTCTGCAGTGAGTCAGTGGGTGCCTTGTCTCAGTCTGCAGTGAGTCAGTGGGTGCCATGTCTCAGTCTGCAGTGAGTCAGTGGGTGCCCTGTCTCAGTCTGCAGTGAGTCAGTGGGTGCCATGTCTCAGTCTGCAGTGAGTCAGTGGGTGCCATGTCTCAGTCTGCAGTGAGTCAGTGGGTGCCCTGTCTCAGTCTGCAGTGAGTCAGTGGGTGCCATGTCTCAGTCTGCAGTGAGTCAGTGGGTGCCATGTCTCAGTCTGCTGGGAGTCAGTGGGTGCGCTGTCTCAGTCTGCAGTGAGTCAGTGGGTGCCATGTCTCAGTCTGCAGTGAGTCAGTGGGTGCCATGTCTCAGTCTGCAGTGAGTCAGTGGGTGCCATGTCTCAGTCTGCAGTGAGTCAGTGGGTGCCATGTCTCAGTCTGCAGTGAGTCAGTGGGTGCCATGTCTCAGTCTGCAGTGAGTCAGTGAGTGCCATGTCTCAGTCTGCAGTGAGTCAGTGGGTGCCATGTCTCAGTCTGCAGTGAGTCAGTGGGTGCCATGTCTCAGTCTGCAGTGAGTCAGTGGGTGCCATGTCGCAGTCTGCAGTGAGTCAGTGAGTGCCATGTCTCAGTCTGCAGTGAGTCAGTGGGTGCCATGTCTCAGTCTGCTGGGAGTCAGTGGGTGCCCTGTCTCAGTCTGCAGTGAGTCAGTGGGTGCCATGTCTCAATCTGCAGTGAGTCAATGGGTGCCATGTCTCAGTCTGCAGTGAGTCAGTGGGTGCCATGTCTCAGTCTGTTGTGAGTCAGTAGGTACCATGTCTCAGTCTGCAGTGAGTCAGTGGGTGCCATGTCTCAGTCTGCAGTGAGTCAGTGGGTGCCCTGTCTCAGTCTGCAGTGAGTCAGTGGGTGCCATGTCTCAGTCTGCAGTGAGTCAGTGGGTGCCTTGTCTCAGTCTGCAGTGAGTCAGTGGGTGCCATGTCTCAGTCTGCTGAGTCAGTGGGTGCCATGTCTCAGTCTGCTGAGTCAGTGGGTGCCATGTCTCAGTCTGCTGTGAGTCAGTGGGTGCCCTGTCTCAGTCTGCAGTGAGTCAGTGGGTGCCATGTCTCAGTCTGCTGAGTCAGTGGGTGCCATGTCTCAGTCTGCTGTGAGTCAGTGGGTGCCATGTCTCAGTCTGCAGTGAGTCAGTGGGTGCCATGTCTCAGACTGCAGTGAGTCAGTGGGTGCCCTGTCTCAGTCTGCAGTGAGTCAGTGGGTGCCCTGTCTCAATCTGCAGTGAGTCAGTGGGTGCCATGTCTCAGGCTGCTGAGTCAGTGGGTGCCATGTCTCAGTCTGCAGTGAGTCAGTGGGTGCCATGTCCCAGTCTGCAGTGAGTCAGTGGGTGCCATGTCTCAGTCTGCAGTGAGTCAGTGGGTGCCCTGTCTCAGTCTGCAGTGAGTCAGTGGGTGCCATGTCTCAGTCTGCAGTGAGTCAGTGGGTGCCATGTCTCAGTCTGCAGTGAGTCAGTGGGTGCCATGTCTCAGTCTGCTGTGAGTCAGTGGGTGCCATGTCTCAGTCTGCTGTGAGTCAGTGGGTGCCCTGTCTCAGTCTGCAGTGAGTCAGTGGGTGCCCTGTCTCAGTCTGCAGTGAGTCAGTGGGTGCCCTGTCTCAGTCTGCAGTGAGTCAGTGGGTGCCATGTCTCAGTCTGCAGTGAGTCAGTGGGTGCCATGTCTCAGTCTGCTGTGAGTCAGTGTCTCAGGCTGCTGGTTGGTGTGGCGTGGCCCTCACTTGTCATCGGCTTGCTCGGGGGTCGCGCTGTGGCGGCAGGGCTCCGTGACCTTCACCTGCAGTGCGGGAGCCTCGTAGTAGGTGCTGGGCAGCAGCACCAGGTAATCCTGCCACACACACGAGAACACAAAGACAAAGATCCCCCGTGCGGCCTTAACAGACTGTTGGGGCAAGTGCTGTTAGCGAGCACTTAAGAAGGCCGGCATGGCACACGAGGGGGTGGGTGGCCAGCACCACGCCCGGCTGCCTTTGTCTCCCCAGTGGCGATGTTTATACAGAATCAGAATATTTATCCTGGAGAAATCCGATGAGCTGTAAAGCTCTTTTTTTATACATGTCCAGCAGGGGAAGGTCAGAATATGACAACAACAAACGACAGAAAAACACGGCAGGAATTAGTTTAGGAAAGGTAAGCAAATCACTCAAACGAAACACTTATATTACACCCTGCACCAGGCACTCATTTGAGGACGAGTGACATAGGCGATGCCCAGGACCGGTCCAGATGTTCGTGGCTGCTGTTGGCCGCGAGCGGGAATTGAACACGGGTTTGCCGGTTTCGTAGCGCAGCGCGCTAACCGCGACACCACCGCTCCCCCACACTGCATTGCAGCGCAGCGCGCACACACGCGCATCACGCACGTACACAGCGCGCACACACGCAAGCACGCACGAAAGCACGCCGCTCGCCACGTGGCTTTAGGGATGAAGAGATTCAACGATTCGGCTCAATGAATATTCCCGCTAATACCACCCCTTATCCCCGTGTGTTATTACAGCCAAAACACGCCGTTTAATGCAGCTTTGCTCAATAAACTGCCTCCAGCAGCAACAAGTCAACGCTCACAAACGACCTGCAAAGAAAGCAGCGCTGTGTGATGCGGCGACTTCTCTCCGTGTCGCGAGCGCTCTCCACCAAGGGGATTTTCGACGACCGTGCAGGCATCGGCCATGGCGGCGACACTGCCCCCTTCCCCTGCCGGATGTAACGATCCATCGACTAAACATCGGATTCGCGATCTCGCGACGCGGGCGTCGGACGACGCGCGTCACAAGCCGCGTCCAGGGATTTTTGACGGGGTCACTCACGACAAAGGCTACTCGCGGATCCTTTTCAAGCGTAACACAAGTGAGTGGGTGAGGCGAGTCGATCCGCGTGTAACGAAGTCAACGACCAGAAGCGGGTGAAGGTGAAGACTCGCGAGAGTCACAGGCGGCCCCCCGAGCTCACACCACACAACAACAACACAACAACAACAACCAGCACCACCACAGGTGCAGGCGAGGCAGCAGCTGTGCCCAGCCATCACGTGGACACCGCTGGGTTGGCTTGTGGGGGGCGGTGGTGGTAGTGGGGGGCGGTGGTCGTAGTGGGGTGGTGGTGGTCGTAGTGGGGGGCAGTGGCCGTAGTGGGGGGGCGGTGGCCGTAGTGGGGTGCGGTGCGTCGTACCAGCAGCACGTCCTGCACCTCAATGACGATGTACCACGTGCCAGGGTTGAGCACGAAGGGGGTGGCGGGCGCCCCGTTCCCGGGCACCGTCACCAGGGCCGGTGACGCCGCGCGGCCAAACGTCACCGAGCGGCTCTGCTCCTGGCCTGCGTGCCGATCAGGGGACGCGACGCGGAGAGACGCCACGGGGAATCAGGGGACGCGACGCGGAGATGCATCGACCCACGGTGGTCGCCCTATCCAAGCGCTATCCAGGCTCCGCTCTGCTTGACTTTCGAGATGTCACACCCGATTGGTGGAGATGAAGCCATTTTCATCCGAACGTTCGATGACCGTGCCTGAATCAGGCACCCTGACTTTACTAAACTGAGCTGTGTAGCTCTTTTGCAGAAGCGAGCTGGTCACAGATGATGGCTCAACGAAGTGGCTTATGGCGTGGAAATTTATTGCAGCCAAATACTCTAAAAGCACGTTGATTCGAATTGCGGAGGGAAAATCCGGACAAGCCGTATACCAGGCGAGGTAGTTAACATCTTCGCCACCGTGGCGCCCTTTACAATAGAAGGGTTCCAACTGGGTCCGGAGCATGTCGGGTGGAACAGCGTCACAGTGATTAGCGTACACGTACAATAGGCGAGACGATTTCAATGCCTTGGAGTACACCCGGCAGTGCTTCACGATTAGTTTATGTTGGGTTTGGTCATCGCATGGAGGTCTAACGTCAACTTCCAGGACTACAACCCTCCACCGCCTGAGCCAATCAAATTATGTTGTCACGTGGGCAAATATGCTAATTGATCTGATGTATCAGCAAAACGGGAATGTTGAACGGCAAACAAAATGTGAGAGTTTTCGTTCCCGACGCTTTGCTGAACATCACATCCAGCATCACCGGGTGTTAACCAAAGCTCAGCTCTCACGTGAAAGGGCTTCCAACCCGCCTACTGAAGTAGGATCTGTAATGTCATCAGCACAGCCACGCACGTGGATCCAATTTAACAATTAGGGTTCATTCCTGGTTGCTTGGCTGCAATTGGCTGCTTAGATGAGGGTAACAAGGCAAGGTCAATCCATTTAGCAGCATTAACCAGGGCGGCCGCTGGACTCGAACCGCGAACCTCTGTGACACACGGCTAACGCGCCCCCCCCCCCCCCCCCCCGGCCAGATCGCCAGGCCCCAATCGCACGTCACGGACATGGAGAGCGCTGGGCGAGAGTTCGAATCCGGGAATGGGCCGGGAGGTTCGGAGCTGCTGAGCGGAGGGCCTGGCCCACGTGAGGCCATGCGTGCGTGTGTGTGTGTGCGTGTGTGTGCGTGCGTGTGTGTGCGTGTGCGTGTGTGTGCGTGCGCGTGTGTGCGTGTGTGTGCGTGTGTGTGCGTGTGTGTGCGTGTGTGTGTGCGTGTGTGCGTGCACGTGCGCATGTGTGTGCACGTGTGGGTGTGTGTGCACGTGCGTGTGTGTGCGTGTGTGTGTGTGCGGTGCCGGCGCTCACAGCTCCAGCAGGTGTCCGAGCTGAAGTCCTCGGTGACGGAGATCACCGCCTGCACGTCGTGCGGCACCGCGCTCTGGTAGCGGAACACCACGCGGTACAGCAGCGGCAGCTCCACCTGCACCCGCACCACCAGCTGCGTCTGCACACGCGCACACACACAGCGCATGTGAATACACAACACACCGCACGTGAACACGCACACACCGCACGCACACACACACATCGTCCACACACACAACACACCGCACGCACGCACACACGCGTGCACAACGCAAGCGCCCACACATGCCGAAGCACAGCTTGGTTTAGAAACAGATTATGATATTAGTGCTGTTAGTGAGCGTCTATTAAGGCTGATGTGGCACGCTCCCCCAGTGCTGATACTGACAGACCACACCAGGTACCCATTTAAGACTGAGTCCACCTTGGTGAGGCCCATGACCAGTTTTGGTATCACTCGCCATTGATGTTAGCCACGGCCAAGCATCAAACTCGTGTAGCCGGGTTCATAGTGCAAGACACGAACCAATGTGCCACTACCAGAGGGAGGGAGGGAGGAGAGGGAGGGGAGGGGAGGGAGAGAGGGAGGAGAGGAGGGAGGAAAGGTGGAGGTGGAGGGGAGGGAGGAAAGGAGAGGGAGGGAGGAGAGGGAGGGAGGGAGAGGGAGAGGCCCCCACCTGCAGGCAGGACATCTGTGCGTAGCCGCGCCAGCTGAAGTCACTGAACTCGTTCGGGTCGAATCCGAAGCGCACGGGGCGCCCCTCCAGCGTGAGGCCCTCCTCCACCTCCACCCGCAGCGCGTGCATCCCCGGCAAGAAGTAGTGCTGCTCCGGCCTGCACACACACACACGCGAGATAAAGATCACCCCTAAAGCCTCGGTAGACTGTTGGGGCAAGTGCTGTTAGCGGGTAGCATCTACGAAGGCCGGCACGGCACACGAGGGGGCGGGTGGAATCCGAGTCTCAGTGACCTGCGTTGAAACTGGGATCTCGCGCCTAGAGAGTTGATGGGGCCCAGCCTGACCACTAATGACCTTTGGGTTCATCACACTTCTTTGGGGTGGGGGGGACGGCACGTGAAGCCGTGCACCGGCTCCGGCAGGAACTTGCACTCGTCCACTCGAATATTGTGTTTAGTTTGTTGTCCTTCCCCAACACCTCCGATCAGCACGGTCGGGCTACGTACGGCGTCCACAAGAAGTTCAACGCACGTACGCGCGTCCGGCGATGCAATCATTCGCCCAGAACGTGCACAACGAGAGCCGGTCCTATCGCTCCGTCTCCGCGGCGGAACCAAGTTCAACGTACGTACAGCAGCAACACGTTCGGGAGCTAAATGACGACGTTGAGACCTGCTCGCCATGTGGGGGGCTTCAGAAGAGAGTTGGTGGAGTTTTGCTGTCCCTCTGTTGAAGGAGCGTAGAACACCGTGGGGCTCGCTCTATAAGCTGTTACGCAATATTCTACTGAAATTCAATCTTCATTGCTCACCCACAATTCTTATTTTTGGATATAGGGGGAACGAGGGTACCAAGAGGGGTTGACGAACTTTATCATGAACAACGGCAAACTGGCCACCTATAGGGCCAGGAAATGTGCAATTGACGGGAGCGGCTTCCCCAGCCACTGCCGCATCTTCAAGGCCCTGGTTTCTGCCAGAATTTGGCTAGAATTTCGGTCGCATCTTTCTCGCCGCGTTGGGCTACCGAGGGTGGCCACAATTGCACGACCGTGGACCGTGGCGTGCGTCTTCAGTTCCGGATCTGGGTGTGAATTCTAGAACGGTGACGGCGTGATCCCAGAAGGGGGACTTGGGACTTAGGTAGGCGGCAAGGTATATTGTTGGGGTCTTGGTTGATGGGTTGGAACTTGCACTGTGCATCTGGAACACACATCATCTTAACAAAGTGGAGTGGCACCGTTCGCCGTCAAAGTTCCTCGCGGGAATTTTTTCCCGTCAAATTTGCGACGAGACACCCAGGGCACAATCGGACCGTGACGAGAAGGCAACGCGGCGCGTTTCGCGTGCAAGGGAGGTGCGGCGCCGCGCGGCTCCCTACCGGTCGCAGCGGCGCCCCCCCAGGTGGGGGCGGCAGCTGCAGGCGCCCGTGCGGCTGTCGCAGCTTTGGCCCAGCGACCCCCCAACGTCGCAGAGGCAGCCTGCACTCGCCACGCACAACACATCACACACGCACACACACAGCACGCACGGTACGCAGAAGCACATCACACACACAGCACGCGCAGCACATCACACGCGCGCACACACAGCACGCGCAGCACATCACACACGCACGCACACAGCACGCACGGCATGCGCAGCACATCACACGCACACACACATAGCACGCACGGTACGCGCAGCACATCACACGCACACACACAGCACGCACGGCACGCGCAGCACATCACACACGCACACACACAGCACGCACGGCATGCGCAGCACATCACACACGCACACACACAGCACGCACGGCACGCGCAGCACATCACACGCACGCACACAGCACGCACGGCACGCGCAGCACATCACACACGCACACACACAGCACGCACGGCATGCGCAGCACATCACACACGCACACACACAGCACGCACGGCACGCGCAGCACATCACACGCACACACACAGCATGCACGACACACGCAGAAGCATAACGCGCGCACAGGCAGCACGCACAGGCAGCACGCACAGACGGCACGCACAGCATAGCACACACGCGCAGCACGGCGCCACATTTGAATTGCCAAGCAGCGAATCTGAGCGATGGCCGCTGATAACAATCTCCATTTGGTGTTCACGAGCGTGCAGTGGAAATGATACAATCCCATGGGTTGGGGCCTCAGTCTCTGGCCCCCGCCATAGGAGGCTGTCACGGGACCCCACGAGGTTGGTGCTCGGGGTTCACGCGTTCGGCAGTGTGCACCGAACAGGCGGAAGGGGGAGCAGTGGAAACGAGCAAGTTTATACCACGGCGCGAGACACCGAGGGGGAGCTTTGGTGAACGGTGGTGCCCGACGGCGCAGTGGCGGAGGGAAGGGAGCAGGCAGGAGGTGGAGTGGACGCTGGCTGCGGGCACACCCTTTTGGGAGCGGGGCCAGGTGTGTTTGTATCTTGATATCCGCTCGTATTGGATATAGCCCTCGACCAATGTGTTGCTGGTATCCGCACTGTGCTTATAGGGGGGGGGGGGGGCGGTGTAGTGGAATCAATAGCATTAGCTAGAGCAGGAACCACTTCAGCCTGACATTAAGAAGAAGAAGGAAAATCCTTAAAATACAAAATAAATGCAGAACTGGTGGACGATTCGTGCAGCGGCCATTCTTCACAGCACACAAACGAAGAGGAACGGACATTGTCCACAATGTCGCCAATTGTATCTTTTGTTTTTTTCTATCTCAAGGCCACACAGCGTTGTTGAGCAATGCGTCGAGTCGATTTGTATCGACTGTGCCCGCGCGCTTCAGCTAGAAGTCCATTTTTGTTTTTAACATCACTAACAAACAAAAAAGAGCCTCGAGGTGAACTTGCGGCGTGACCACGGGACGAGCCGGCGAGACGCGAGGGGGCGTGGCGCGCGAGAGCTGGACCCTCGTCCCACCTTGGCAGCCAAAGTAGTTGTCGGCTTCGAGCGAGAAGTATCCGTCCTCGCAGGCCGTGCAGGAGCGCGTGCCCACGTTGGGCTTGCAGTAGCACTGCCCCGCGAGCTGCGTGCGACAAAACGGACGCGGCGCGTAGCGGGCCAGGCGGAGCACGGGGGGGGGGGAGCGGGGGGGGAACGACATCGTCAGCAGCATCAATCGATCCAATGTTCATCTGTTACACGGAAAGTCCCGTTTTAAGCCAAGTCATCCAGCTAGGTTTGCACGGGAGATCCGTGGTGCGATCGGCACAGAACAAAAAACAACAACAACAACAACACATCATCATCACAGCGGTAGGCATAGAAGAGCAGGCCACAGCAGAACAGCAAATGTCATCGGCAAATAGAAAATAAATGTTAAAATAATTATGAAGTGAGTAAATACCTGCTCACACTCGGCTACGCCACTCAGAGTGCCCTGTCCGTCACAGTGGCAGCCTGCAGTCAACGCACACGAGAGAGACCCTTCACAGATGCCCGTGGTGTCGGCATCGGAAGCTCATGCAGACAGCAAGCAGAACCACTCGTTGGGGAACAATGCAGCAGTGAAATCGCGTGTTTTCTCGATAGCCTCCTTGGGGTTTATCCCACCGCAACCTTCAACAGTGCACTCTCGCTCACCGCTTTGTGGATGAGTGGGTCACTCTGTGCCTAGTTCCTCTTTTATCGCGCAGGGGTCGCATCAGGTACGGGGGCTTGCTGTGGTTGTTCCACCTGATGACGATTGCTTGTGTTGCGATTGAAACGTCGTGATTTGTTTTATTTTATTTTATTTCCATCTACGTGACTTTACCGAAAGAACCAAAGAGTATGGTGGCCTAATATTTTCAGTGCCCAACGGGGCAACCCTGGTGCTGACGACACTGAAGTCACTTTCGTTCAAATTTCTGTACAAACCTCAACCCAAACGTGTGGGCGGTGCGACTGCACCAGGACCCGCAGGTCGGAGGGCCACGGGCTACGAGGGAGCTGGGGGGGGGGGGTGGGTGGTTCGGGTTCAGCCAACGGGGCCCCCCGTTTCATTCCTTGCACCAGGGCAAACCGCCGCTGGGCCACGCTCACCTTCACAGCCAGAGGGATTGTAGGAGTTGATGTTCCAGTAGAGGGGCTTGCACACGTCACACTCGGGCCCCGTCACGTGCTCCCGGCACTGGCAGGAGCCCTGGAAGGAAGCAAACCCTCACACCGGGTCTCGAGCCGACAACTTCACGTGCGGCAGTCCCTCGCCCATCGACTGTTGGCCTGGGAGTCATGAGCAGCCCACCGTAAGGCACTGCCGGGTGAAGGCCTTCCCCCGTGCTGTGGCAAGTCAACGGGGATGTTCGACGAGGTTCGTCGGAGCGGGTTGTGGTGAACGAGGTCTGTCCCAGGGTCAGTTGCTAAAATTATTCCAAAAAACAATTTACTTATTTATCCTCGTCGGACTCTTTATCAGGAGGGTCCCGTGACGTTGGGTTTTCATTTGAAGATGTTTTCAGACAATTAATGGTGGGAGGGAACCGGAGCACCCGGAGAAAACCCGTGCATGTGAGGGGGCAACGCTATATCCCCGTGCAGATGGAAACAGATGGCGATGCGTCCACTTGCTGTACTGCCTTCTCCTGACGAGCCAGGATATGACACCTCAACGCCCATGGGAAGGGAGCTTTACAACATTTGTGTGATCCATTAACCCTCACTGCCCCCCCGCCCCCAATGCTGGATTACACGCCACGTGAATAGCCACCACCAAACAGCACATCGCTCGCCACCGATGTTAGCCGTGGCCAAGAATTGACCTCAGGTGGTCGGATTCTTAGTGCAGTGCTCTAACAACTACACCACCGCTCACCCCAGGCATAGATTAGTGGCATTCAGGATGACTTGTACCATGGAAGACTGATATGATTACATCACGGAAGTCACTGTGAGTATATACTCAATAGGACAGTTTCTGGATGTTCATGCTAAATTCAAAATAATTTTCGTAGACCCTGCGTAAGTTCTAAGTCTGAAGGGGTGGCATTGCGTTTCCAGATGACTTTATTCACCACTGGAACTTGCCTGCAAGCTCAATGCACGACCCCTCAACCCCGGCGGAGTTAAAGACTTTCTCTCGCCACAGAAACGTGAAATTACTCACCGCTGGCCCAGCGCTTCCAAAGGACATGAGGCCAACGTGCTTGTTAGCGCGTGGCCACGACGTGACTCTGTTGACTCTACGTAGTTATCCAAACCGAGTGAGTGTCATTGGAACACTGAATATATGCTGTGTATTTAACTCACAAGAATACTGATTATAATGATTATTCCCCTTGTGTACCAAGAGGCAGTGGTGGAGCCATGGTTACCACATGGTGCTCTAAACCCTGACCACCTCAATTCAACCTCCAACCACAGTTGACATCAGGGAACGGTGATCTCTGCGCCACCGCTTCCCATGCAAATGCAAAGATAAAGATCCCCCGTATAACCCGTAACCTACTGTTGGGGCAAGTGCTGTTCGTGAGCACCTTTGAAGGCAGGCAAGGCACGCGAGGGGGTGGGTGTCCAGCTCCATGCCTGGTCGCCTTTGTCTCCCCAGTGGCGATGTTTACCACACACTGCACCAGCTACTCAATTGAGGCTGAGTCGACCTAGGGAAGGCCCAGGACCAGGTTCAGATAATCATCACCGGTATTGGCCGTGAGCGGGAATCGAACCCGGGTCGCCGGGTTCGCAGCGCAGCGCACTAACCGCTGCACTACCGCTCCCCACACACACACACATAACCCCGTATGCACGCAAAGCACGTCCGACATGCAAGCTCACCTCGGAGGGCACGGTGTTGCTGACGAGTGAACCGGATGGAACGCACGACGACACTGCAACACACACACACAGACACACGGTGTGCCGAGGTTCACGAAAAGTTCATCGGCATCTTCTGTTCCGCTGTTGCTCGTTCCTCGGTACGGATCGCTCCGACGCTGTGGCGCTGTGCCGATGCACCGCGGATCTCCCTTGCAAACCAGGTGGGCAACTGGTCAAAACGGGACTTTCCGTGCAACGGATTAACACCGACCGATCGAGTTGATGGAAATTGATCGAGCGGGTGGGTTAAGTTCGCACTCAGCCGAACTGACCAACGCACGGAGGAGCAACGTGTCGACCCGAGCCGTGAGCCGGTCCGGGTCAGCGTGTGCATCGCAGAGCCTCGTCCCGGTGAACCGGGATGCACAAAGCAGGTGGCTACAATCTGGATTTGAAGCTTTCGTTACTGCAGGAATCCATACTCTTTGGTTCTTTTGGTAAAGTCACGTAGGTAGAAAACAAAATAAATCACGACGTTTCGGGCGCAACACAAGCGTCCGTCATCAGGTGGGAAAGCATGGTCTGCTGCTGAGGCAGACTGTTTTAAAAGGTTTGAAATGGGTCTAGCCCAAGGGTTATAAAGAAGTGGCCGGGGCTAGTGATGTTAATGTGAGAAATTAGCATGATGTTAATGTGAGGGATTAGCATGATGTTAATGTGAGAGATTAGCATGATGTTAATGTGAGAGATTAGCATGATGTTAACGTGAGAGATTAGCTTGATGTTAATGTGAGAAATCAGGTTGTTACAGGCTGCTGCAGCGACACCTGATGGGCAGCAGAGGGCAATGTTGTACTGTGCTGTGGCACCGCGTCTCAGCTCTTCCTGCCGTGGGGGAGGCTGTCATCCAGCAGTGGATTGACAACAAGGCCTGCACTTATGGTGCGCAGCAACGGCACAATTTGTTGATGCTTTGTGACAAGAGACGTCGTGATTGCCTGGGTCAATCCAGTGGGAGTCAGTCGCCTCCTTACGGCTCTTCCATCGCGCCTGTGATGGTTTCTGTTGTCATAGACTGTGCACCCATTGATACTGCAGGCCACAACAACACTCACCCACTCACTCACCCACTCACCCCACTGCAGGTCACAACAACACACTCACTCACTCACCCACTCACCACACTGCAGGTCACAACAACACACTCACTCACTCACCCACTCACCACACTGCAGGTCACAACAACACACTCACTCACCCACTCACTCACACACTCACCACACTGCAGGCCACAACAACACTCACCCACTAACTCACCCACTCACAACACTCCAGGCCACAACAACACTCACCCACTCACTCACACACTCACAACACTGCAGGTCACAACAACACACTCACCCACTCACTCACCCACTCACAACACTGCAGGTCACAACAACACACTCACCCACTCACTCACCCACTCACTCACACACTCACCACACTTCAGGCCACAACAACACTCACCCACTCACTCACCCACTCACAACACTGCAGGTCACAACAACACACTCACCCACTCACTCACCCACTCACTCACACACTCACCACACTGCAGGCCACAACAACACTCACCCACTCACTCACCCACTCACAACACTGCAGGTCACAACAACACACTCACCCACTCACTCACCCACTCACTCACACACTCACCACACTGCAGGTCACAACAACACACTCACCCACTCACTCACCCACTCACTCACACACTCACCACACTGCAGGTCACAACAACACACTCACCCACTCACTCACCCACTCACTCACACACTCACCACACTGCAGGTCACAACAACACTCACCCACTCACTCACCCACTCACTCACACACTCACCACACTGCAGGCCACAACAACACTCACCCACTCACTCACCCACTCACAACACTGCAGGTCACAACAACACACTCACCCACTCACTCACCCACTCACAACACTGCAGGTCACAACAACACACTCACCCACTCACTCACCCACTCACAACACTGCAGGTCACAACAACGCACTCACCCACTCACCCACTCACCACACTGCAGGTCACAACAACAACACTCACCCACTCACCCACTCACTCACCACACTGCAGGTCACAACAACACACTCACCTACTCACCACACTGCAGGTCACAACAACACACTCGCCCTCTCACCCACCCACTCACCACACTGCAGGCCGCAACAACACACTCACTCACTCACCCATTCACCACACACTCACTCACCACTCACTCACCCACACACTCACTCACTCACCACTCACTCACTCACCACACTGCAGGTCACAACAACATCACTCGCCCTCTCACCCACCCACTCACCACACTGCAGGCCGCAACAACACACTCACTCACTCACCCATTCACCACACACTCACTCACCACTCACTCACCCACACACTCACTCACCACTCACTCACTCACCACACTGCAGGTCACAACAACATCACTCGCCCTCTCACCCACCCACTCACCACACTGCAGGCCGCAACAACACACTCACTCACTCACCCATTCACCACACACTCACTCACCACTCACTCACTCACACACTCACTCACCACTCACTCACTCACACACTCACTCACCACTCACTCACTCACCACACTGCAGACCAACAGACACCGTGGGGTCACTCCGCCACACGCGGACTGAGCGGGGATATCGGTGGGTGGGCAAACGCGGTGCGGGATCTGCGCTCGCTACCCTCGCAGCGCGGGAAGTCGTAGGAGCCGGGGACGCACGCCTCGCACTTGTGGCCCAGGATGCCGGCCCGGCACGCGCACTGCCCGCTGTGCTGGTCGCAGGCGGCCGACAGCGAACCGTCCAGGTTGCAGTCACACGCTGAGGGAGCGGACATGGGGACGCACGCGTCACTCGCCACGCACGTGTCACTCGCCACTTTCCCCGAGCAAGATTCAGATGTTTCTGGCTGGCGAGATGTGAACTACGTCACCTGGTCTACAGGAGGTCGTGGGTTCGATCCCGACCCCGATGTCTGCTGTGTATTTGGAGTTTGCGTGTTTCTCTCCCCGTGGTCTCATAGGGCTTTTTCTTCGGGCCCTCCAGTTTTTCCCTCCACATTTAGAATCAACGTGCATTTAGAGTATTTGGCTGCTATGAATATACAAATGATAAGCTACTTGGTTGAACTATCATTTGTAGCCAGGTCGCTTATGAAATTAAATCTATATAGCTCAATGGGCCTTACCTGGTTAAATAAAAAATAGTTTAATAGTAGTTTAGTTTCGTGAGGCCAAAGTATCACGGTTTTGGCTCCGGCTCAGCAAGGGAGTCGGTGGAAAACCACCCGAACCGTGATGGTCCCTACGCTGGCTTGGCTCGGGTGTGCCAGTGGAAAAAGGGGTTGATAGCGTTCCTCCCAGACCGTCGTTGTTTCCAGGAAATATGCAATTCTACCGTGGGGCCGTGTCGAGCCGACATGTGAGAAATGCGGACAGCCGAGACACAAGCAGAGGCAGATTGAGTTTGAGGGGGGGCCCGGCATTGTGATGGTTTTGAGGGTGGGGGGGCCTCAGTTTCTTCAATTCCTTCCCCTCGACTGTTTTTCCACCAACTCTCCACCGTTATTCACCGTGGTCATTTTAAATTCTAGCTTCTAACCACGACGTACAAATCGTGAAGCTAGGGCACAATATTCTGAAGCCACTGGAGCTGCGCACTATTAAATCTAGGTTGAAAACTCATTTTTAAAAAATACTTTTTGCGTTCAGTTTGTCCTCCTTTCCCCTACACCGGCACTCCTCAGGGCACCAGACCACGTGCGCACCACCACCACGATTCAGAACGTCCCCTATTCCTACTCCGCGACGTCTCCGCAGAGGGGAGGAAGCAGCAGTGACCGTGCGTGGGCTGCCACTGGACCAACCGGCTCCAAAGTGGCGCTTCTACGCTCACATTTCCACCGTCTGCCTTCGACCGTGACAAAGTGGTGCCGTCGGATCGCAGGCTGCAGCCCCTGAAAAGCTCCCCCCCCCCCGTAGCATCAATCTGGCCCCCCAGTCGCCGAGCCCGGCGCTCAAAACGTCAAGCAGCCAGCAACAAACGGCACGCTGAACGTTGTACGAGGCGGGAGTGCGACGCCGTGTCCTGCAGTCCACGTGAAAAGATTCTGATTCTGCCTTGAATTGACCGAGGTCATTGCGAGAGCTCGGGAAAAGAGGCATTGGGAGGGGATTTCAAATTGGAGCAATGCGGGGAAAGGGGGGAAACAAGCGGGCAGGCAAGCGTGGTGGTAGCCTGCAGTGTTGGCGGTGCTGCTGGTGGTGGTGATGGTGGAACGCAGTGTGGTAGACTGAGCACTTCGGCAACCAAACAGCGACGTTCACGGGAACGGTAAACCATGGCCGCAGCGACAGCAGAGCGGACAGGGAGGGCGACTGGCCGGGACGAGCGAGGGGAGCGAAACGTACGCATGCACACGGGGAAGCCGTAGAAGCCGTCGGCGCAGCGTTCGCAGCGCGAGCCCGCGAAGTTGGGCTGGCACGCGCAGCGCCCGCCGTGGCCGCAGTGAGTCTCCACCGAGCCGGCCGGCTCGCACACGCACTCTGCACACGGACACAAAACATGCGGACACAAAAAACATGGAGACGACGCCCCCCCCACCCCAACCCCCTCCACACGCCCACTCGGTAAACTCTGACTGACGATGTTTTACACCTCCGATTAGCACGGTTGGCTACGTACGGTGCGTAACAAGTTCAACATGCATACATAAAGTGCACCAGGTGTTCGTTTAACAAAAAAAAACAGGTGACCTCGGGGAAGGCCCAGGAACAGTTCATGTATCACTCGCACGTCGATTTTAGCCGTGGCCCGGAAATCAAATTAAAGTAGAATAAGACTCTGCACGCCAGCGGGGGGCGTTGAATGAAACTTGGTATTTGTATGTTTGTGTGCTCAGTGTGTGTGTGCTCAGTGTGTGTGTATGATCAGTGTGTGTGCGTGTGTATGATCAGTCTGTGTGTGTGTGTGTGTGCTCGGTGTGCGTGTGTATGATCAGTCTGTGTGTGCTCAGTGTGCGTGTGTGTGCTAGATGTCAGTCGACCCGTGGCACCTGGGTCTGCCCCATGACCTCCTGCCAGCGGGCCTTCTCGACACTTCACATGGCCTCAACGTGCACCTAGCCTGGCACAAGCGCCGTGGTGACGTCACCGCCACTTTAGTGGCGAGCGGCGCTTGTTGCCATTGCGCTCGTCGCGTGTATGCACGTGTGCCTCTGTGCTCCATGCCGGACTGTACGAGCTGCATGGCGGTGGAGCGGGGAGTGCGGCGGCAGTGCGCACCCTGGCACTGAGGAAAGCTGTGGAAGCCGGGGTTGCAGGTCTCGCAGTGGGAGCCGCCGTACTCCGGGCGGCACATGCAGCGCCCAAAGTCGTTGCACACGTCCGCCTGGCAGCCATCCTGGTAGCACTGGCACACTGCACAAAGACAAAGATCCACCCCCCCCCCCCCCCGTATAGCCTCTTAGCAGAATGTTTGGGGGCAAGTGCTGTTAGCGAGCAGCGCCTATGAAGGCCGGCACGGCACACGAGGGGGTGGGCGGCCAGCACCACGCCCGGCCGCCTTTGTCTCCTTGAGTAAGCGTTGTCTCCACACCGCACCAGGTACTCGTTTGTTGGACCGCGTTTCACCACTCCAGGTTGGTGCGAGCTGGTGAAAGCGTGAGGCGTATGTTGAACTTCTTTCGCACCGTACGTAGCCAACCGTGCAAATCAGAGGTGCGGGGGAAGGACAACAAACTAAACACAAAAAGCAGTTCTAAAAAGATTAGTTTTCATATTCTTGGTTCTTTCGGTAAAGTCATGTAGAAGGTACATAATAAAATAATATTATTTGGTTCTTTCGGTAAGTCACGTAGAAGGGAAATAATATTATTTTATTATGTCCCTTCTACATGACTTTCACCGAAATAATATTATTTTATTATGTCCCTTCTACATGACTTTACCGAAAGAACCAAGAATATTAATCCCTGCAGTCACGAAAGCTTTAAATCGAAAGATTAGTTTTCAATATAGATAATTTAAAAGTGCATAGCTCCAGCGGCTTCCGATTATCGGAAGAGCATTCCAGACGGCCACAGAAGCGCACCTGAAAGACGGTTAGCGGGGATGACCGGAGTTCCCGTGATGGTTTACGCGTAGATGTGGAAGCAGCATAGTCACGGCACCACGGTGGACATCGGACGCACTGCTCCCCCCCACAACGCTACCCACGAAGTAACCCCCTCCCTACCCAGCAGCCCACGGCGTGCGTGTTGTGTTGAAAGACTACGGTGGGGTCCCCCCCGCCAATGCGAGCGCCATTCAGGCGCGGCTTTCAACGGAGCCCCTTTGTGCGCCTTTAAGTGCCGTCGGAGAAACACCGCGGCCAAAACTCGAACTGTTTAGCCGAGCTGCGCGGCGACGCCGCACCCGCGCTGAATAGATGGGGAATGCGGCGGACACGGGAACACACAAACGGGACTTTGTCAGGGACGCGGGCAAGTTGGCCCGCCGGCACGTTTCTAGGCGAGCCGGCCACGCTTTCACCGAGGATCTCGCGTGTTGTTTTGAGCGAGGTGGGTGGGGCGGTGGGGAGAAGTTTTTTTTTTTGCAAGCGATGATCAATGCTACGGAAGCGCGCGCCCAGCGGCTACGCACCCCGAGAAGCAACGAGCGCGGCGTCGTGCCGACATTCCTGCAGGCGACTAATATTCGGGCCCGTCCGACGTTGACATCGCAACGACGCGACGGGCAGTGGCAACTCAGGTGCGGCCAGAAGGCTCGCAAGTCCACAATCTGGCCGGGGGACGAGGCGGGTTGAGCCGATCGCGAGGTCAACAAAAAAGGTGCCACCTTTTGCGGAAGGTGACAACCGTGATCAGTCAGCCCTGGGCCAGGATTGGTCCTTGATGTTCTTTTAATTCTCAAGTGCCGAAATGAAATCAAACTCACCGCACTTGAGAAACGTCGCGTCTAGGCACCTGTTGTATTGCCAGAAAGGGTAAAACCTGTTCTTGTTTTTCCTACTTTGCTACTCAAAAAAAAGTTCCCATGATACAGCTGCTCACCCCGAGCTATAAATCTTCTAACACGTGCATTGTCTTTGTACGTTTTGCCTTGTGGTGTTCTCTGGTCTGACACTGGTGGTGAGACTAGGCCACGGGGAGGGCTGCCTACGGTGTTGGCCAATCAGTTTCGAAGACGATGCACATTGTCAGAGCACGTTTGTTTGCATGTTTACCACCAGTGCTGTGTGTGGTTAATGCAGACTTGATTTCTTGCAAAAGGTTTCTAGTTGGTGTTTGGCCGTCTTGGCACCTGTTGCATTGTTAGACAGGGTAAAACCTTTTCTTATTCTTCATGCTTGAGATAGCAGGCTTAATCAGGCTGTGAAAATATAACATGACGTTTCACCCCTTTCTGGCAATAAAAGAGGTGTTAAGATGTACAAACACAAGTACGTGCGGCTAACACAGACCTGATGCCTTCCAAAAGGTTTCTATTTGGTGTTGAACATCTTAACACAACTCCTGTTTTATTGCCAGAAAGGGTAGAGAATAAAAAACCCTATTCTTATTTTTTGTTTGCCCGCCGGGGGGCTGTTCACACGCGTTCCCGTTCCAGCGTTGGTCGCCCAATGGATCCGGAACTCAATCGCGGCGTGCGCAGGTGAACGCACCAAGAGGACAATCCAGCGGCGCTCAACACCCTCGTTTCCGTGCGCCCCCCCGTCGCGCCGTGGGGAGATCGCGGGGGAGAGGCGTGGGGCAGACCGTGCGCGTGCGAGGCACTCACGCTGGCACAGCGGGTAGTTGTGGTACCCGGCGGCGCAGAGCTCGCAGCGAGGGCCCTGGAAGCCGGTCCGGCACGAGCACTGCCCCGACACCGGGTCGCAGCCCGCCCCGTCGGCGCCGGGGACGGAGCAGTCGCACTCTGCGCGGGCACAGGGCACGTTCGGCCGGGCGGCACGCCGCGGGCCACGGTCACAACGCGAGTTAGGGGCACGGCTGGGGTTGACGTTTCTTTCCACTGTCGACAAAACCCGGACGTAATTTCCCAGCCAGCACTTGGGTGTTATCAACGCTGAGTGCTCAACGCGATGCCAATATCACGGTTCAGTGAACATCAATTTCGGCGACCGGGTCACAGATGCCAACTCCCGGATTGTCCGGGTCACAACTCCGATCGGTGGCAAGCCCCACGTAACATCGTCGCATAACCGACGGTCACGTGTCCGCCTTGACCAAATCACTTCCCACGCTCGGGGGAGTATTTGTGGAGGGTGTGACCTCACCTTCTGTAGCCGTTGCACAAACCCAACCTTTTCACGCGAAGGAATGCATTCTTAATCTCACGTTCATTCACTCTCATTCTAAGGTCGGGTGAAGCAGTTTCCAATATTTAAAGGTAATTACGTTCAACAAAATAAATATATATAACGAATGTTTAAATGGCCAGCCCCAGTCCGACTAAGTGTAAATTCTGGGCAACCAAGGCCAATGACGCAATCGCTTTCACCATCCTCGCAGCCGCACTCCTCAACCCAGCGCACGGAGCCGAGCAAGAGGGCGCACACGGAGAAACTTCAACTTGAACGAAAACAAACTCTGCCTGCAGCGGCAACGAGCATTTGGGGGAGGCCAAGATTAAGACCACGAAATGCAGCCAGGGAACAGCGGAGGCCCTCGGCCATTTAACCCTGATTTTGGGTCGTGTTTAATGCAGCCGTTTCTGCATGAACGATCATCATCAGCCACGATCTATCCTCGTGGTCGAGTGACGGAGCCATCCACCCAGTTCCTGCACGTTGAGCCCCTTTCCATCGCTCCGTCCCCATGGTGGACGCCCCCCCCAGGGAGTGTTCCTTGCCCCGGGCTGCCACTCCTTCGTGAGTCCCATTGCCAGCCATCGTCCCTCTTCAGTATCTCTCAGCTCGCTCTGAGCACCACCACTCCCACCACCCCCCCCATGCCCTCTCACCCTGGCAGCGAGGGTAGCCGTGGTGCCCGGGCGCACAGGCGCTGCACGTGACGCCGGTGTAGCCGCGCCGGCACGGGCAGTGCCCCGTGGCCGTGCTCCGGAAGCACGCGTCCGAGCCGTCGGCAGAGCACTCGCAGCTCACTGTGCACAACGCCGGGATGGATCGGGGGCAGGGCGGCGGTGGGGGGGGGGGGGAGGACAATCAGGGGGCGCTTGGGGAAAGGTGGAACAGGCGGAGAGACGTTTGTGATCCCACGGGAGTCGTTTTGCTTCTCCTTCAGAGACACGCAAACTCCAAATATACAGCAGGCGTCAAGGTCAAAATCGAACGCACGACCTCCTGTACACCAGGCGAGGGAGTTAACATCTCACAGCACAGTTAGTCGATCGGCAGGTATAATATTGTGGGGTAAAGCGTGGTTACTCCCAACTCCTCCAAGACGTCTGGCCCAGCGTGGAGGAGAAGGCCACAAGCCCTGCTGTAGAGGAGCTCTCTAGAGGTGCCCCCACCCCCCCCCCCTCTCTTGGAGACGTTCCCACCAGCAGTTGAGCAAGCCATTGCAGGGCTGCCCCTTTACTTTTTAAAATTAATTTATCTTGAATCCGGCTACCCTGCCCCGGGCGACTTGAACGGACGAGGCTGCTCCTCACCGCGGGGGGAAGCAGCGAGGCTGCGGCGCGTGACGCACGGAGAGCACGCGACTCGGTACCTGTGATGTGGGCGACTTGCTGAGCGACGGGCGGCGGCGTTGGGAAGCTTGTGTTCCGGAGAGCTGTGGAGAGAAGCAAGCAGGCGACGTTCGGGGCAGAACGCAAGTGAAGGCCTAACCGGTTCACGGTCGTGGTCTCGGCGGCGAGCTACTGTATCGACGCACCGACAAAGACAAAGATCCCCTGTATAGCCTTGACAGACTGTAGGGGCAAGTGCTGTTAGCGAGCACCTATGAAGGCCAGAACGGTACACGAGGGGGTGGGTGGCCAGCACCACGCCCGACCGCCTTTGTCTCCCCAGTGGCGATGTTTACTACACACCGCACCAGTTACTCATTTGAGGCTGAGTCGACCTAGGGGAGGCCCAGGACCGGTTCAGATAATCGTCACTGGTGTTGGCCGTGAGCGGGAATCGAAACCAGATCGCCGGGTTCATAGCGCAGCGCGCTAATCGCTACACTATCGCTCCCCGACACCCACACACACGCGCGGAGACAAAGCCCTCCTTCATAGACGCTCGGCAACAACACATCGCGAGCAGGAGACCGGGCTCTGTTGAGTCTCGATAAATCGCGGCGGCTTTAGCCGGATGTAAACAAAAACATTATCGTAGCTAGAACACGGGACCTTTCTTGCCAGTATCAAAATATAAGGATAGTTTTTACCCTTTCTGGCAATAAAAGCAGGTGTTAAGATGTTAGAACGCAAAACAGAAACTTTTGCCGAGCAATCGTGTCTGCATTAACCGCACGTACTTGTGGTGAACATGCAAACACAAAAGGTTTATGGTTTGGTGTTTTAACATCTTGACACATATTTTATTGCCCAGAAAGGGTAAAAAAACCTATTCTTATATTATCATATTCTTGGTTCTTTCGGTAAAGTCACTTAGATAGAAAACAAAAATCTAAATTCAAAAGAAAAAACCCACGACGTTTTCATCGCTAGACTAATTTATTCATGTGATTGCAATTATGGAGAAGCAAGTACCTATGACCAAATCACCCACAATGCACCGATCTTGTAAGATATAAAAATCTAAGCTGGACTTGAATCTGAATTTTGCACGGATGGGTCACAACCATGCACAGCGTTTGTTGTTTTTATAGGCTGCAAGCTGTGGCACGGAGAGCAGAGGGAAAATGCAGCAAAACCTACTGTTGTACTGTACTTCCATGCTCCCGTGGCTATGCTCTCCACCCTTGCCATCCTGCACTGAGCAGCGTGGTTTAAGTGTGCTATAAACTCCCCTGACCCACACGGCAGGGGCCTCATCCAGCAGTGGAGTGAGCAAGGACTGTATGTTTACATTTGGTTTCGGCATGTCGGTGTAGATAATTGAGGCAACGTATATAAATCAAATCTTGACTTAAAGCTTTCGTGACTGCAGGAATTCATATTCTTGGGTCTTTCGGTAAAGTCACATAGATATGTTCAAAGAAAATAAGAAAAAATAACAAAAAAAACGATGACGTTTTGATCGTAACACAATCGTTCAGCATGTGTACGCATCTCACGTGTTATTACGGACTGTGCTTTATCCCATATTATATATGCAGAGTTCTTCAGGAACTGCAGACTGTGCTTACCGAGACAGGGGGAGCCTAGTGTGCTGTGGCTGCTGTTCTTGCACTATGAACCTGAGTTTGTGATGCTTGGCCAGGGCTAATAATAATAATAATTAAATTCGAAATAATTTTGCTCCTTGTGTTTAGTTTGTTGTGATCCCTGCGATCAGCTCCGTACGGTGACAGAAAAGTTCAATATAGATAATACTGGTGAAATATGGGCTTTTGTGCCTCTTCAGATAATTATAATATAATATTGGACTCGTTGTAGTGGTTTAATTGGTCTCTCGACCACCGACTGGTTATTGTCCACAGGTGTAAACATCGCAATGTTTACACCGGCCCTCACGGCCCTCAAGGATCCCCACATGCCCCCACGGGCCCCATGGGAACCCATGGCCCCCACAGCCCCCACGGCCTGCACGGGCCCCCAAGGGGCGCCACGCCGGGTGGAGCCGACACTCACGCCAGCAGTGGGGGTAGCCAAGGAAGCCGCGGGCGCAGTGCTGGCACCGCTCCCCGGAGAAGTTGGGCCTGCAGAGGCAGTAGCCGCTCCGATCCTCGCACCCGCCCAGCGTGTGATCCAACTCGCAGTCGCACGCTGCGAGCACACGCGCAGGAGAGAGACAAAGATCTAACCAGACTCTTGCCGTTCGCGAGCAGCACCTGCGAAGGCCGGCACGGCACACGAGGGGGTGGGTGGGTGGCCAGCACCACGCCGGGCCGCCTTCGTCTCCCGAGCGGCGGGGTAAACACACCGCACCGGGTTCTCGTTCGAGTTGACCGATGCAAGGCCGTGCACCGGTTCAGATAATCGTCACCGATGTTGGCCCATGAGCGGCAGGGTTCGTAGCGCAGCGTGCCGACCACTACGCCCGGCACTCCCCCTTAGGCGCATCAACGATGCACGCAACGACGCAGCGCAGCATGATCTCAGGTGGGAAGTGAAGCGCGTGAAGACACCCAGCGAGGAAGCGTCGTTGCGTTGGACGGGTTCACGGGTGGTGGTGAGGGGGGGAGTAGGGGAGGGGGCGGGGGGGGGATGGAGGGGGCGGGGGAAGGGGGCGGCAGGGCGGTGGGGGGGATGGAGGGGAGGGGCGGGGGGAGGGGAGGGGCGGGTGGGGATGGAGGGGAGGGGGTGGGGGTAAATGGGGTGGGGGGCGGAGGAGAGGGGGTGGGGGGGGGCTCACCCTGGCACGAGTCCTGAGCGGTGGGAGGCACCCCCGCCAGGCGGTAGAATCCCGGCTTGCAGCGCTCGCAGTTCACCCCGTCCGTGTTGTGCTGCACCAACACAGCGGCAGCGACATCGTACACCGATTCCCTCCTCCCGCAAGACTACGCGCGTACGGCCCTCTGGTCAGCTCACTGCTGGACGACGGACTCCCCACGGCCGTGCGGGTCGCCGGGGCCCCTAGAGGTCGTCGGGTTTAAATGACCGCACCAATCTGTGATGATTGTTGTTGTTGTTGTTATTTGTTGGTGGCGGAATGCTCAACTCGCGGTTCATCGGATTACGAGTTGCACATCAGTCCATTGTCTCCCAGGGGTGGATAAATACGAGTACCGCTTTGGGAAGTCGACAACGGTTGTCCTATAAAGAGTGGCCTCTGCCATTTACGGCCCTCTGTTAATCCACCGCTCGACGAAGGCCCCTCCACGTTGTGAGGGTCGTGGGCGTTATTCGACGATACGTCACCACATCGACCGGTGCAGGTGGGAGAGGGCATTGGACGTAGACACCGGAGCACAGCACAGCACACCGTGGGCCATCAGCAGCCCGCAGCGCCTGGGTTTGTGTGCGCGGCGAGCACTCATCCAAGCGCTGTCTCCGTGCTCAAAGCCGGCTTGGCTTCCAGGTGGGGTGAGATCGGATGCATCCTGGGCAATTTAGCCAAAGGGCTCCACAGATCCACAGATGTTCAAATTGCCTCCGCTGTTGTGACCTCACGAGATCGACGACCGGGCAAAGGCACCAGGGAGGGTCCCTGAAGGGGCAGCACGTGGCTAGGAGATGTTAGCTACCTTACCTGATATGCAGGAGGTCGTGGGTTCGATCCCGACCTTGACGATGCCTGCTGTATATAGCTGGAGTTTGCGTGTCTCTCTCTCCCCGTAGTTGCATGGATTTTTCTCCGGGTCCTAGGGTATTTCCCTCCACATTTAGAAACATGCGTTTTAGAGTATTTGAATTCGTGGAATTAACCCATTTCGAAGATCGTGTTTAAACCAAAGCCCTTTGGTCTCTAATTTTGTGTCATTGAGTGCACGGATGCCATACATTTGCACGTGATAAGCCACTTCATTGAGCTATCATCTGTGGCCTGGTTGCTTCTGAAAAATATCTATATAGCTCAGTGGGCTTTACCTGGTAAATTAAAATATATATATTTTTTAGAAGAGGCACGCAACACTGGGGGTGCACATAAGCAGGGCCATCCCCCGGTGCCTCCTGCTCTGCCTCTACTCCACATGAGTAGTGGGTTCAAGTTTCACTCCTGGGCAGTGACAAATTGAGTGACCGTCAACACGACTGCATTAGACTGAGAACGTAAACTCACTCGGTGATTTAACCCAAGTTCTCATTGGCACGGGCTTAGTGCTCATAGGTGGGTGAGTTCGTGGGTGGGTGAGTTCATGGGCGGGTAAGTGAGCGGGTGACTGAGTAATCGGGAGGGTGTATCTGAATTTCACAAACTTTTATACGAGGCAATCGAATGGCCTAATCACTTTCAACTCTAATCGTTGCTCTTCTTTGACGATACAAAATCCTCATCATCATCATGGTCACCAGAAGCCGAGTCGATCCCCAACTGGGATGTTCACCCAGAACCCTTCCTGATTGTGAACCGAGCGCTCTCGCCACACCGCCGCCTCTGCCAGGTGGGGGGGCGGGGGGGTGCAACATCGGAGCTGCGATGGGCCGAGGCCGTTGCTCACCCGGCAGTTGAGGCAGCGACCTCCGCCCTCGCGCTCCCCGTGCACGTTCAGGCTCCCTCTCGTCCTCTCCACCTCCGCATCGTACTCGCACTCCTCCGAGTGGCCGTGGCAGTTGCAGGCTGCGGGCAGACGAGGCCAGAATTAAAACGGACGTGTGCACGTTCGTCGAATGCGCGCGCGTGGGGTGAGCGGTCGTGTAGTGCGGCGGTCAGCAGCGCGCTGCGCTACGAAACCCGGCGACCCGGTTTCGATTCTCGCTCACGGCCACCGACTGCGAGGAGGCTCAGGAAGCGGCTCAGACAATCGTCAACGATGTTGGCCTTGAGCGGGAATCGAACTCGGGTCACCGGGTTTCGTAGCGCAAGCGCGCTAACCGCTGCACCCCCGCTCCCCATTTACATTTACACGCGCACACGCGAGTGCACACGCGTGTGTGGCGACAGAGCTCGCGACCCCAGAGCAGTCCCCACTTAATGCTACATCTGCGATTGGGTCATTCTTACAAAACACACGTGCTGCTCAGTTGCTCCGTGCCTTCTCAGTGCAAAGCATCTGGGAAGGCCCCCGAGGTCCGTTTGAGCCGTCGTGATGCCCGCTCCACGGGACCTGCGACTCTGGAGTGCGTCAACATATTTCGGAGGGAACATTTTTCTACCCCCGTAACATAGAGGGTATATGTTTTCCCACTGGTTGGATAAACAAAACGTTATTTTTAGCCATTTTTTTGGCAAGTTGGAATTTCTAAACGTTATAAATGTTAAGACTTTGATTGCTTACGATCTGAACTTTTTTTGTATGTTTCGTGTACAATCGTCTTTTGGTGGCGTGCGTAAAAAAAATGCTCACTTGCAAATGAAATTGGCCAAACATCCCCATTTTCAGGACCCTTCTCTTAAGCCTCAATGCGACTTTGCTCGATAGAGATCAAAATATTTATTTGAAATGGAGGAATCTGATAAGCTATACAGCTCTTTATCGCAGGTCAGAACGTTACAACAAACTATACAAACGCCAGGAGTACAAAGACTCGAAAAGGTAAGCAAATCGCTTAAAAAGAGATACAAATGAAACTAAACTATTTCTTTATCTTACCAGGTAAGCAAGAACATTTGTTATTGTGCACTCTTATACGAGTCCAGCCCATCACAAATGCGCATTGACCACGCATTGAAGTGGGCTCTCTGAAACAGCAACACCGTTTTGAGTTTGTTGCGCAAAACTGGCTCAGACTCAGGGATGGATCCCCGGACATGAGCTGGTAGCGGTGTTCAAGGTCTTTGGGCAGGAGACCCCGAAACTTCGCTGGCCGTGTCGCGCGTGAGGTTTAGGTCGCCGCGAGCCGCCGATCGTAGTCGGAGTCGATTTGGGTCTGCCGCAGCTGGTACGCACTGATCGGCGAGATAGGACGGAGCGGATTGATGGACACTCTTGAAGACGACGTGGCATAATTTGTACGTAATCCTCTAATTGATAGACAGCCAGTGCAGATCATCACGTGATAGTTAGGAAACATTTCTGTTTTCTAGCTATCAAAGCCCACTGAGCTATTAATCTTTTTTTCTGAAGCGACCTGGCCACAAACGATAGCTCAACGAAGTGGCTTATCGTGTGGAAACTTCCGAGCGGCAAAATCATCTGATCAACGCGTGTAGATCGAGAGGTCACCAGTCACGGACTGGCGTGGTCACTGCCACCATCGCTCAGCACTTCCTTCGCCCTGCCAGACACTCGGGCCGCGTGACTCAAAGCACTCCAGGCCATCACTGCTGGGACTGCAGGGCGACTGCACTTCTGGGTGTACCAGTATACGTACACAATGGGCAGGGGACTGGCACATGCCATGGGAATGTGGAATTTCCATAACTGTGAATGATCGCATCCGTGAGCTCGCGAGGCTCTGGATCGGAGGAACGCCCCACTTAGGGCGATGGCTACATTCCTTTTTAGGTGTTTTTTTGTAAGCGAGATGAAAATTAACTTCCTGAAGACGATTCTTCTAAAGGACGGGATGATACCCCCGGCCATCGATACAGGCAGGTCACGAACCCAGTTGCTGTGCTGCAATTTAATGGCTCACCACTGTCTCTATGCCGGCGAATGCCTCACGCATGCGATCGTCTCTGTGCGAACGATCTGGCGTAAAAAAACGAGAAATAATCTGGAGGGCGAGAAATGGGATCGAAGCGGCAGGAAGGAGCAAGTCGTCCGTGCGTCCACCGCCGCTCGTCGTCCGCGACGGAGCGGAACAAAGACGACGCGGACGCGCCGTGGCTCCCGTAGCGCGGAGTATGTACGCGAGGCCCAGGAACGGTTCAGAAAATATGCACGTTTGTTGAACTTCTTTCGCATCGTACGCGGCCAGACCGCGCTGATCGCAGCTGCGGGGGAAGGATGAGTCGCGTCGAATGTTGTGGGAATATGCGAGCAATTTCTCTCGTTGCGGAAAGGAGGGTGGTGGGGGCCTGGGAAAGCGAACGCTGGCCACCGATGCCAACATTTACTCTGAAAATTAAAATTCACGGGGATTTTGTTTTTCCTTCCCATCCAGCACACGGTAAACAAATTAATAAAAAAAGTCTTGAATTTGTTTAACTTTTGCCGAGCAGCTGAATAGCTTATTGCCGAGTGCGCTGGCAATGCATTGCACCGACGATGGGTGCGCAGTCCAGCAGCTGCCCCTCTCCTCCCTCCGCTGATCCCCGGAATCACCACGGGGGTCGATGGGACGTTAAAGAGCCCGAGAAAATTTTAAGCGGCGGCGAACATTGCACATCTCAAATGTGTCCGCAAACAGAACAAGTAAGCGGCGGCCCTTCTGCAACTCAAGTCGCCGATTCGCTGGCCTGTGCGACAAAGTCCACCTTTGACCAACGCTATTGCAATGAATCTGCCTTTTTTGGGCGAAGACGAGGGGATTGCTCACCAATGTTTGTTTAACAAACCACACCCTGCTGATGTGAATCAGCGAAGCTGAAACTGGTTCAAGATTTGCATCCATTAATCAAATTCTACTTTGATCTGTAAAGCCCATGGGTAAATATTACGCGTTAAGTTAAACTTTGCTTTGATTCCATTATCGCAAAAATCCCACACTCTTCGTGACAGGGCTGAGATCATCGGCTCATCACACTCGAGAACCAGTTTCATCACAGGTGGTTGAAACTCACATTTGAACCCAGGATCTCAACAGTGCCGGCCCCGTGATCTGATCGATCTAATCACCAAGCCTCCAGCCCTTCTCTAATTCTAAAACGTTTAAGGGGCATGGGCTCTGATGGGGTCTAGTGTAGGATCTGCGTTCCGTGGCTTACGGAGCCTGCAATGAAGTCGATGGTTGGGTTACACGGCTGCAGCGCATACCGCAATGGGCGCGTCGAGGCTTGAGCGCGCCCCAATCCAGAAGCGAGAGCACATTTGAACCGCTATCAGAGTCAATAATGACATTCCCGCAGCCTTTCCTGGGAACGTTGGTGGGCTGCCTAAACAAACCGTGGTAAAAAAACCATGCGACTCGTAACGTTCCACGCTCACATCATTGGCAGCACGTTTAAATCAATCGGTAATTTTGCTTTAAGTTCACACTCCATCAAGTTTCGGGTTCACATTTCGGGAAGGCTTTCTCACGTAAAAATGTCGACGTTATTTTATTATTTAGTGACAGATGAAAGCAACTGCAGAAAAATCGTCTTCTGAAAAAGACAACTTAATCTTGTGCATGACTACTACAACATGAGGAATGTTCATCTGCTACCATCATTATAATCCCGTCTGTGTTTAAACTACGTGGATTGCAATCCAGACCTGCCAATCGGTCTAAATCCGCCGATTGGAAGGAAAAAAAGGCCTACCCTGGCCTCCAGTTCGGTTCGTAAACACAAACTGCACAAAGTGGCCTGCTGACAGTGTCTTTAACTGAGACAAGAAAGCGGTCATGCTGGCCAAACAGCTGCTGATAACCGTTTCGGTTGAAGCGGATGTTTTAAAATTAACGAACAGCATCCGGCACGTCGTCCAAGCCACGGCAAATGTCGCCAACTGAAAACTGCATCTCGGCATGACCATGTTTTTTTTTTTCTTGCACCACAAACGAGCGAATTGGGAACAGGAGTTTTAATTAATTCAACTTGGGCGCATCCGAAATGATTCGTGGCAAGAAAGCGGTCGCAGATGTACTACGGAACGGGGCGGGGGTGGGAAGGTTTGTGATGAGTGGGGCTATAGTTTCTGAATGGAGGAGGGCTGGATACCTACCGGGCACGGGCATTGGAGTGGCACCGACAGGTTGGCAAGCGAAGACCAGACAGTGGGAGGCTGTAAGAATAGGACCCTGGAGGTGCAGTGGTGGACTGCACCTCCGATTAGCATGGTTGTCTAGGTGCAGTACCAAAGAAGTTCAACATACAGCGATGCACAAGCGCCAACATCGATCGCGACACGGACGTTAGGATGAACCCCGAGTGGCCGAGGTTGCCCTTGATCAGAAACGCCAGTGACACATTCGCCTCTCGGAGAGCGCAGACTGTGGCCCTGTGAAGGCATCCTTTTGAATGGGGCCATCAAGCTGAGGTTTGTGGCTTGGCGCTTGGTAGCTAAAAGCGACACATTTCTGGGAAGGTCAACCTGGACACATGGTGAGTTGGCAGCCCCTCCTTCTGTCAGCCCCGCCCACATTTGCATCACCGTGCCCACTTTATAAAACTACATGTTTTTATTTCGCCAGGTCCTTAGGCCCACTGAGCTGTACAGCTCTTTTCAGAAGCGATCTGGCCACAAATAATAGCTCAACGAAGTGGCTTGTCAAGGGGACATATCTCACAGCCAAATACTCTAAAACACACGCTTCTAAATGTGGAGGAACAAACCGGAGGACCCGGAGACAAATCCACGCGACCACGTGGAGAGAGACACGCAAACTCCACATATACAGCAGCAGGCGTCAGGGCGGGGATCAAACCCACGCGCTCCTGCATACCAGGCGAGGGAGTTAACATCTACTAGCCACCGTGGCACTCAACCACTCACCCCGCCCACACAGGGAGTGGCCTCCTCCTCACCTCTCCCAAACATCGGAGCCCCACCTCCTGCTCACAGGCCCCGCTCACTCTTCGAACGGCCAACC